ATCTCACGATTTGCACCTCTCTCTCTTGCTTCGACACTGAGTGGAACGAATGTGTGTGTTGAATATTGTCCCAATAAAAAGAAATCACTGGGTCGGTGTTACCTCCGATTTCTCCGAATTCAGCAGCCATCCTAATTGTGCGAGGAACTTGATGATGAACTGCCTGTGGAGAGGAAGGATTACTGGATCCTGCTGGGCTTGAACACAGTCATCGATATAGTCGATGACACCCCTTGAAAGTAAATCGAAGATACTTCCGATAGTCTGGATGTATCGGGATGTGAAGGTAGGCGTCTCGCAGGTCGAGGGAAATGAGAGGTCTAACAACTCTTGCCTCTGACAAAGAGGTATCTCCTGAGATAAGAATGTTCAATAAGTCGAGCTACTATGTCAGTTCTAACGGAGTGCTGAATGTAGTATGTTCTGCGCATGGACATTGTCAGTCAATCTACAGGAACGTTAACATTATAAACCAATTGAAGAAATTCGTACGATCGGCGACCTCAGGAACGTTTCGGTTGGCCAAACAAAATGATGGTTCGCCAGATGGAGTGATAACGGTAGTAGATCGCTGCCTGGTGACAGTCCATGCCTAACTGCAGTGAACTCTGAACTCAGTGCTTGAGCTAGTGTAGAAAACCGAGTAACCCCAGCAAAAGTCAAACCGTTCACAGGTGTTTTTGTCTGTCACCCTTAATAAGCAGTCTCTCTCGACTGGCTGTCGAAATCCCGACACAATCACTCTTACCGGGAATGGCACCGTTCATTGTTACTAGCATTTAAAGGCTGGACTTGATATCCGATTCGTGGGACCAGGACAAGTCTGCAAGGACATTTCATAGTCACTCTAATCATCAAAATTCCAGTAAACAAACAGTAGTCCGCCATTTGCAAACGTTACACACGAGTGACAAAAAGACGGAAAACACGGTCTTCGGTTAACCGGGCGAGTCGCAACCCATAAATTCCGGGCTGAGCTATGCTGGCTATTTGACAAAACATCACTGCTGGTACCATGTGCAAAAACTTGACCCATCTGTTATCTGTCCAGAAACTTGCTTATCATGTAAAACAAAGGGAGCTGAAGATGACGAACCATCTGCAATAATTGCACCCAGCGATACACAAACACGCTGTTACCAGTAGTCTGTAGTAACAAGACTCAGTGAAGCGTCATAAAGTATTCCTGGCCAGCAAGCTTATCTAGTAATGCCCTATCGAGTGGTTGTAGAACTGATATCTACACCAAAGGGTAGATTCGTTGAACCGAATCATTCATCAAAGGTGAAGGTCAGATGGTAGATTAAGTCTGGAATGAGATGAGCCCCGGTCACGGAGGACTCTTGAGAACTGGGATCGTCAGACTGTCAAGTGCTGAGCATGATATGTCTAGATGACTGCGCTACTGACATCACATGTAAATCGATTTGGCATGATGAAGCACATAGCTACTACCTCTGTTCAACCAGCCGAAAAAGGGGTACAAGGTGGGATAAGTTATGTGACTAAAAACATTAAACGCCTCACAAGCTGTAAGGTAAACCAGATAAACAATCAAATTGTCGTGCTTAGAGATTGCCACTTCGTAATGAGGAATTCAGCCCTGAAAACGAGGATCGTGTTGAAAACTAGCAGAGTTCGACAAATTTGGCCGTATCTAGATGCAAGTTCACGTACCTCGTTGAGGATGTGGAAAGTCCCTATCCTTCATGTTGAATGTAATCAATAGATCATCTGGTATCTTGCTCTAGGTAGCTGTAGGTGGTCTGCGAACCATGCAATTATGTGTATCGAATCAACAAAAACAATTCCTGCATCTTATAGGCGACTGGCATAGCCCGAACCATGAAAACAAAGACGAGGTTCGATGTGGGTTAAGTGTCTTGGGAGGCATCCAAGACACATTTGGCATAGGCTCTGATAGGCTGGTAAGATGCGCCGTGTTGGAAATAACACGAGTGGTGAATCGCCCCATTCGTGAATAAGCTCAATTGCTGGCAAGGTCCGAGGAATGGATTATTGACGAATGCTGACAGTGCAATGAATGCTGACAATTCAGTGATCTTGAATGGCCGGGTGAACTGGTTCGTCGATAGGAAGCGGTTCGACCTGGTGAAACGGTACGAGTCAGGCTGGTAAATCAGTTCAGGGTGGTGAGCCGGAACGTTGATGTGATCTGAATCAGTCCGTGATCTGGATCGGCGTTGTGAGCTGGATCGTGACTGATCTGGATCGGTTCGGTAATCCGAAATGTTTAAATGATCTCAGCTGATGCAGAGATCTAGAACGATCAGATGAACCGGTGAGGCGAGGTGAAATGTTCCGGCCGAGGTGAATCGTTTAGCCGAAGAGAGCCATTACGGCGAGGCGAGACGTTTCGGTGCTGTGAATCAAATCGATGATGTGAATTGGTTCGGCGATAAGAAACAGTCTTAATATTATGGCGAATTGACTCGATGTCGTAATCCACATACGCCGTGGCGAAATGGTTCGGTCTGGTGAATCCATTCGGTGTGGTGAATCGGTTCAGCGATTTGACGATGTAGATCGGCTGTGTGGGTCATCTGGCAACACAGAGTGGTTTGATTTGGCGGAACGACGAGTAGACATCTGATGTTGCGACAACAAAATCATCACTGTCCGCCATGGGATTCTCCGGACGACGAGCAGTTAATACTGGTCGTTGAAAGCGGGGGTTTGTCGGGTGATCAACTGTTGAAGTGTAACGAGCTCTGTCTGCCAGCCAGCCAACCAGAGCAAGCATGTCTACATGCTCTAAAAACGTCCTTGATAAGGGAGCACATTCCCAACAACGTTTGCTCCAGGAGCACAGGTCAATACAACCCACACATGACGAGGAAGGGTTCCGAGGAAGTAAATATTGTTACTGTGTGCGCAAAATTACGCTACTTAGGGTCAACTACCCATGATATATTTCTCATGTTAACTTGTAGGGGTGTCACGTTACGCGAATGTATCGATGCATCGGTACATTTTTACAGACAATATGATACGCGATACATGCTTGCGAGTATTGATTCCTATTTTAAAACTTTATCGATTCAATGCTATATCCATCCCCTTCAAAGTCTTGATAGTAAAATTATACGAGACCGCTCCGATAAATAGATGTAGCTAGCTTTACTTAAAAAAATAGGTTGGAAACTAACAGCTTTTGTGATTGGCTAGACTATTTTGATGGACCAATCAGCGAGCGCCTACGTTGCGAGTAAGGTAATGCTATGATGCGGGAGTCGAACGAAAGTGAATCGAAGTGTTGTGCATGGATTTCTCAACTCCCACTGGGAGTAAATTCAAGTCTAATGTGTGGAAACATTTCTGTTTCCCAGACTACTATGAGGATGGCCAACGAAAAGTTAGTCGTGAAAAGACAATGTGTCATATTTGTAAGACATTGATCGGATACAGTGGGAATATGACAAACATGCAAGTCCACCTCATATTTATTATTTAACAACTATTTTCCATTGAGTCAATTGACACTAAGCTGATTGCTTAAGTATTATTTTTCATTTTATGTGTTTTTGTGACACAGTATAAGATCAGTTATATTACTTGTGACTTATTCAAAGTTTATACTTGACAGACTTACTGCCAGTTGCTGGTACAGATCATTTATTTATTTTTACAATTGGAAGTGTTATTTCCACAGTTACCAAGTTTACCCTGATAAGATTGATACATTTCATTTCATCGTGAATCATGATGATATTGATGTCGGACAAGCATACCTGTCAAGTTGGACATAGAAAAGGGAACCTTGGGACTTTGGTTTTATTTTAACTTGAATAAAAGTTTTCTGAGAACATATGCATACTTATTGAGTTATTAGCAAAACTAACATGATAGTTATAAGAATTTATTAGTAAAGAATCTCAGATTTACATCCCTCTTTCGCAAAAAGGCGCGAAAATTATGTATCGCGACCTTAAAATCGTGATACGTATCGTATCGTGAGATTGGTGTATCATGACACCCCTATTAACTTGTAAGGAAAGCTGAGAACTCTCACAAAACGTCCACACAGTGGTGCGACAAGAAGAAAAATGATCACTCTGAGGTAGTCACGTGGGTAGACAGGGGAACATGCTGCACGCTTTGCCGGGGAGCCAGGGACTAGGGACCTGTCCTATAAGGAGAGCAGCCTGGGGAACATGGGCGTATGGACAAGAGAGGCCTACAGGAAAAGTTCTCATTCGTTCCACTCAGCGTCGAAGCAAGAGAGAGAGGTGCAAATCGTGAGATAGGATAAGTTTAAAAAATTTGTGTTTAAAAAGACAGAACAGTATCATAAGTTTAATTTTAAGTTCAAACAACTTACTCGCAACTGGCTGCTGACCCTACACTGTTAGATCATGAAACAAAATTTATGACGTAATTATGGAACGTAACGTCACCTGCTGTGACATTATTTGACAACAGAACTGATAATGGCCCGTAGTTGAGGAATCAGTTGGCCAGTATCATTTGCAGCAGCTGACTCATTTCTGACTACTATGTAGCGGCCATAAAATTTCCGAGTCCCGTGCTGGGATTCGAACCACGGACCTTCTAATCAGAAGTCGGACGCCTTGTCTATATGACCAAAGAGGTTAACCCCTTCAGCAAGCTGACAAGGTAAAGATGTCATCTGTGGGATGACTCCACGCCCTGCTACATACTCCCCCATCAACAGAAGGCACGTCCCGAGCCGTATAGTTGGGTACTGAGACTTATTTTGCTCAATTTTGATATGAATGTGCTCAGCCCCACGTTGGGCGCCAATGTAGCGGCCATAAAATTTCCGAGTCCCGTGCTGGGATTCGAACCACGGACCTTCTAATCCGAAGTCGGACGCCTTGTCCATATGACCAAAGAGGTTAACCTCTTCAGCAAGCTGACAAGGTATGGATGTCATCTGTGGGATGACTCCACGCCCTGCTACAACTACAGGGCAGTTTCATGACAATTCCGTCCATTTTAGCTATAACACAATTTACCTTAGGCCTGTTGTCTTGGAGTACTGTTTTGGTGGCACGGGGGGAAACTAGAAAACAACACAATAAAGACAAGCATAAGTGAGGGGAGACTACAAAATATTTCAAGTTAATAAAACTGTGAGATGAGATGAAACAAGCTGTAACCACAGTAGAGATAGAAACAATGCTATAAAGTCTGCACACTTTCATTTTGTTAACAGTCAGCTGGTGGAAACCTTTAAGCCCTAAATAAAGCTGAAGTCTTACAACTGCACAACAACATGTGAGATGTCACAAGTAATCTCTTGTTTTCCATGAAATATGACAGGATATGAAATGTTGTGTCACAATTAGTACAACAGTCACATACCATAACTTATAGATGGCATAGAGAAGTCATCCAAATCATCTTCCATATTAACACTAGGCACAAACATCCCCAGTGAAGGTTGAGCTTGCACCTCTCTCTTCCTCTTGGTTCGTGGAGGGGACTTAGAAGACAAGTTAGAGCAAGGGACACTGAAACCAAGTTACAAGCATAAGCTGGAAGTAAGAACACATTCTTAATTAGAATGACCCTAAAATATATAAATGTGGACACAAATCATCTGAAAATCACTTCTTTCCCCTCACTTATGTGGTTTTCACAGAAACTAATGTCGCAATACATGAGGTGCAACCCATTTGCCCTGGTTACGAAAACTGACCACTGTATTATATATGAAGTGCTGATGGACTGCACAATATGTTATGTATAACTGTCTAAACACCACATTTAGTCATATCAGTACACATTTATCTATGAAATTTAAACATTGAAACTGTTTTGTCATTTTACGTCACAATCTGAAACGTCATCTAAGTGACACGTGTAATTTAGCCTGGTTGATGTAACGAATAATGTCCAACTCTATCAGGATACAATAACAAGACTATCAAGTAACTGAGCTTCACTACCTCATTCAGTTCACCTCCTTTTAACATGAAATTTTGTCCCCATGTCAGCTAGTCTGAGACCAAAACATTTCAGGAAAGACAACTGACAAAAATCCTCTGACACCCGTGAAGATCTGGCTTAGAATTGATCTTCAGTAACCCATGCTTGTAAGAGGCGAATAATGGGATCGGATGGTCAGGCTAGCAGACTTGGTTGACAAGTCATCGTATCCCAATGTGTAGTACGATGTTCATGCTGCTGATTACTGGATTGTCTGGTCCAGACTTGATTATTTACAGACTGCTGCCACAGCTGGAATATTGCTGAGTGTGGTGTTAAACAACTATCAATCAATCAATAAATAAGCCCTCAGACACCTCAACACCAGACATCTGTCAACAAACTCGACCAGAAATCAGACATTTCTGAAAACATCAGCAAGACCCCTGATCACACCATCATATGGGAAGCCACTTAGTCATGTCTGCCAACAACAACAACTGGCGTCTAAGGAAGCTACAAGAGACTACATGAGGATATTCCATCCAGGTATCAACCTTGACCAGGGCACACACCTGTCTATACTTGTGTCTCTATTACTATAGAAGTTGACATCCATAATTTTTCACCCATTACATACAATGGTATGTATGAATTGGAAGAAAAGTCATTAACAATCCTAATCCATTCCTTCAAATTGGGTTTTGTGAAAAATAAACATGAAAGTTAATACGTATTGCGATAAGTATTCCAAGCTTTAAATAACCACTACATCCTTATGAGATGAGAGCACCAAGTCAGCACTTGTGTATATGAAGAGAGTGAGCGAGTGAGTGAGTTTAGTTTTACGCCGCACTCAGCAATATTCCAGCTATATGGCGGCGGTCTGTAAATAATCGAGTCTGGACCAGACAATCCAGTGATTAACAACATGAGCATCGATCTGCTCAATTGGGATACGATGACTTGTAAAACCAAGTCAGCGAGCCTGACCACCCAAACCCGTTAGTCGCCAAGTATGGGTTACTGAAGGTTCATTCTAAACCTGACCTTTACGGGTACTATATGAAGAGAGTTAAGCACTTGATTTTATTACTCTTCATATGTATTACGACCTACCTGTGTGGATTAACTGTTGCCACAGGCTTGGGCTTGTTAGCAAAGGACATGATGGACATCTGAGTGCTCCCTCCATTCTGAATTACACCACAAGACAGTTTCCAGTTGTGTGATAATCACTGATCATGTGTGTTATTTGTACAAAATATATATACAGATTTTCATTCTTTAAGTACACAAAAGACACAAGTCATGATTATGCTGTACTAGTATTACAGCAATTGTCCAGTGAATCTGAGTATTTGTCAAACCATCTTGGGTAACGAATTGAGAATCCAATATCTGTGACACTTTAACTACTCTATAGGAACAGACTGTTGTTACCTTATACAGTTTAGTGGGTGGTTTTGTCTCCCCAGTAATTTGTATTCCGTCATCTGATGGGAGCACGGCTGCTGGTGGTTTGTTAAGCGACAGGCCTGTTGAACGTTTGAACTTGAAAGCACTGTCATTAAAGATAGAAAATGTTGCAAAAATTGATATTTAAGAATCAATCCTTCTGTCACTCAGTTACTTTGTTAGCAGGAAATTTTACGTACAGTACACTTCATACACATTGCACACAGAGGTAGTTGTTTTTCAAATTTAATAAATATTAAGATAACTTAGGTGCAACAAACACCAAGATTCTATATTCAATGGATCTTTATATAGTCTTAAGAATCTAAAAGTCTTATAGGATTCATTACCGTTTCTTTACATTTCCATTTCCTATCTCCATGCTGACTTTACTGTTGTATGTGCTGTAAACCTGCAGAAGAAAAGCTTTGTGTTAGCAATCTAGTTCTGAAATAAAACTGTTGTTAGCAAAACAAGAAAACACTGCGATTACACTGGATTGTAAAAAATAATGTGCTAAACCAGATATAAAAATCACGATGACTTATGTCTTGGAACTAATTTCTAGTACATTTAGAGGCTATAAAGAGTAAAAGGTAGATATACTTTGCATCAAGCAAACAATAAGAGGGGAGTACACCACTTTACTGCAGACATGTCAATTTCAGACTTGTGTTGCAGGATTGAAGCAAGCACGGCTTATGAGTTGATTAGGTAACTCTTTACCATGGGACCATGGATGCTCTCACACAGGCTTTCGCTTATCCTGTGGTATACAGTGAGACCCCTGGATACCCGGACACATTCGTTCTTGCGCAAATCGTCTTGATAACTGAATATCCGGGTATCTGGATTTCTGTCATCCAGGCTTTGGTGTTGAAATGGTAGCGAGCATACACTTCTGGTTTAAAATAACTTCCAAAACAGTGTGGTCATTTTGATTTGCCAATTACAATTCACTCAGTGTCAGATAGGCCTACTAATTACCACCAATACCCTGCTGATCAGTCATTAATCCGGATTAGTAGACCTTGTCTTGTGTCAAGACATGTGGGACTCTCACGCTTCACTTCATACGGTCAGCAGAAGATCAAAGATTTCTGCGGATAAGCAGTCAATTTTGTGCATATTTAGACGGTTGGTTTGTAAAATGTACCATCCGGACATGGAAACCACATATCCGTTATAGACAGTCACTTTAATAATGTAAGAGATTGTTTTTTAATGAAAATTGAGCGGAAGGCGAGGTTTCCAGACATCTGGGGTCTGGGTATGTGCGATATAGAGAACTAGGGGAGGTAACACTCTTTCATAGGTGAAGGACATCACTTGCATGAACCTCATGTGAGACTAAGTAAGCACAGGAAAACGGTCAGCCATGTTGCCCTTCGCAGAAGGCACTGTAACCCCAAACCTGAATAAATATATGAACCTGATGTATAACAACCCGTGATACAACGGATACAACAGAACAACTGGTTCTAAGTGATCTTATCCCTACACAATCTGAACTCCCATGCTTGAAGATAAAACTGTAAAAGGGATGTGTAGCAGGGCGTGGTGTCATCCCACAGATGACATCCTTACCTTGTCAGCTTGCTGACGGGGTTAACCTCTTTGGTCATGTGGACAAGGCGTCCGACTTCTGATCAGAAGGTCCGTGGTTCGAATTCCAGCACGGGACTCGCAAATTTTACGGCCGCTACATTGGCGCCCAACACGGGGCTGAGCACATTCATATCAAATTTGAGCAAAATAAGTCTCGGGACGTGCCTTCTGTTGACGGGGGAGTATGTAGCAGGGCGTGGTGTCATCCCACAGATGACATCCTTACCTTGTCAGCTTGCTGACGGGGTTAACCTCTTTGGTCATGTGGACAAGGCGTGCGACTTTGGATCAAAAGGTCCGTGGTTCGAATCCCAGCATGGGACTCGGAAATTTTATGGCCGCTACAGATGCATAAACCCATGGATCTTATACTTGGTAAAAGTAGCAGTGATTGATCAGAAAGGGGTGCATAAACCAAGAATGATATACAGAGTAAAGGGGCATTGTCTGCACAGAAAGGGGTTGTTAAGTAACAGTGTTATTTATTATGCAACAATGTTCCAAGTGTGATACAATGTACCTATTGACACACAGTAAGGAGGCAGTGGTTTGCTATATCTAACCTTGTAATAGATTCAGATGTAAAGATTTGAAACGTGCTACGAGTTGATTCCAGAACTATTTGCCTTAGAGAGGCATATATTCTTCTGGTTCTTTGGTATTAAGGGGAGCTTGCAATTGTCTCTCATCTCACATGACAGTTCAAGTTACCATAATAACAGCATTGTCTGTGATGATCATTATACCCTGCCTCTGCCTATTTTCGAGTTGAATTATTGTTGCTGAGAGGTGATTATTACCATCAATGTCTTTATCATCACTGCTCTTGTATTATATTACCTTTGAATTTGTGCTGTCACTCTATACAGTCATAGTGATACTGTTGAAGTGAACTTTTCAGTTTAACGAAGATGTATGTTTTAACAACTCTCCAGTGCCAATGAAAGAATGATCATATGTCCTCATGTTATGGGTTTTTGGATGCCGGACACCCATTGTTGTCTCTATTATCACACGAACAACTGTAAAACATGTAACTAACTTTAAAAAGACAACATTATCTTGAGCACAAACCATCATCTGTGTGTTTCCAATGTCTGTGTGACGCTATCTGCCTTGTTATATCACGAGTAAACACTACAGTCCCAAAAAGAGACATCTGAAAACCTATGATCCCACGATTAAATATATCCAGTACCCACTGTATCCTAGTTATGGTTGGGTATCTGCATTAACTCTAGCCATTCATTATTTAAGGAATAAATCAATGGCACTTTACTTCAATGAAATGTAGCGTTATTGTACAAACACAAAGTATACACTTCTGAAATGTTAAATCAGTGACTGTCCGTACCATCCACAAACTATGTTATGTACGTAACTGTCACGGAAATAGTCATAGCGTATTTGTCATTTGAGTTTATTCATAAATTATTGGTCTAAGCAAAACTAACGACGCGAAATTACCTGTCAATACAACGAATTTTCTTCAGCCAAATATTCGCTCCGAAGGAAATCAGATATACTTGTTTATAAATTCAATTAACATCGCTCTTCGGAGTGAACACTGTTAACAAGAAAATTATACATCTTATAAAATAGCGCCATTCACTTGACAGTTTTATCTAAATCTGAGAAACCGAAATAGAGGAGTCAAGATACACAATGATCCACCCAGTTAGAGAGGGTTCAATTTAAAATTTGAATTAAAGATTTAACCCTTGTCAAGCAAAGCTAGATGTATTATTTCTTAGATACGGGGAGAGACGAATTTATGTAGAATCATTTGTGAATATATTTCCCTTCATTCGTCTTTTTTAACAAACCTCCTGCGCGTGCGCTTCCATAACTTCCTCTTTAGCTTCCATTTTCTGTCATCTGCAAGTGAGTGTGAACACTGTAGAAATATCTGATTAATCCTTATTGAAAATAAATAAGATTGTTCATGTTTACCGGCATCTGAAAAGACCAGTCATTTTTATTTCAAAATAGTCGATTATTTAATGGAAATATCGGTGATACACACGCATGAAGCCGAATGTTGTACATGGATGTACACATGTAAACAACACTTGTATGTGGATGTAATGCTTAGAACTGACCAGATTCATAGGTATATCGAAGGATTTGACGATTGTTATGTGTGCGTTTCGCGGACTTATTTTTGGCATTTGATGAGGATCATGATGTTTTAAATAAAAGTATCGGAGAAGTACGGACAGTCTTACCTGAAGTCTTCATTATAATCTTGCTCAAGAAGGGCTACGTACTGATATGAGTTATTTTTTATACCTTTGATTATGCACTTAGCGATCGCAGTGAAACTGTAATAGCAGAGGGAATTAGACTTATTTTTTCCGTTACTGTATGTATCTAGAAAGTTTTTGTAAAACGTCCCTAGGATGATTCCATTTCCATTGTGCCTTATTCTTGACTGGAACTGTCATACTGTTGTATTTGATACATTTGATTGCGTTATGTAAGTAATGAGAATACACAGTAACGGATATTTCGCGATTCACTTGAATACCACTCCGAATCAGTTGAACGGGAACAACTACATACGGTTTCGGTTTTGGATTGCAGAATACTGACTCTTCCGGCTTTTAGGGTACCGGGTACGTTTCTGTATTTTGACTTTATTTAGGATACATATCTGTATACAGAAACGTACCTGGGGTATGTATGTAGTACCTGTGCCGACAACGACCCCTTCAGCCCTGCTTTGAATTCGAATAATTCTCCCAAATCATAACCCCTGGCTACAATTTTATGATAGCGTGGGAATAGTTTTCCTTACCACAAAGTATGTTATTATTAACAAGTCAGTTTATATATAAAATCTAACTATTTGCATAGACATATGTAGATCACCCAACGTGAGAGAACATTGATGAACATCGTAAAGTTTAACCTACACAGTTGGAAGTATATAATACAAATTGCAGCCTCCAACCCCCTCATTTTCTTCTTGTATTGAGCATGAGCTGCTGTAGACAAATGTTTGCTTGGATCTGCATGGGAGGCATCCTAGATAACTATTGTTAAACTGTTAGTTTTGAATTTGCCTTTTGATTTGTTACAAACATTTCCAGATCTTAACATATGTTTTTAGTGTTCTGTCCCTTTCAATATTCAAAATTGGTTCGCAACCGCTGGGTTAGGCATGGCCAATAGTCCATTTGTTTGACAAAAGTGAATGTGTAGGGAGACTAGTGGTTGTTTTCTCCACAAATCTTCATTTACATAACCTGTAAGTACACTATTTGGATGGGACTAATGGTGTCTTCCCCAGACAGTATGTTATTGTAAAATTCAACAAAATGGGATATGGCAGCTGGACTCTGACTTGTCAGATTTCAGGTCATTGAACCATGCTAACAAGGATTATTGCTGATGCTTTTAATCACTTGTTTGTTTGGTGTTTGGATTAGTACAGGCTGATATTAAATAGCGGAAATAGTGCAACATTATAAAAAAATCACTTGATTTCCAGCCAGTTTACAGTTGAATCTAGAAAGTAGTAGTTTCTCTTTCTGTCAACTAAATTGAATGATTCATTACCTTTTCAGAAATGGGGCTCCGCTATGAAATGGCCATTGGCCGGTCTAAGGGCCACCGTGTCACCAAAATAGAAGGTGGCAGGAAAGTAAGACCAACCAGAAGGAAGGGGGTAAGTTTTGTCAATATTTTTTCAAAAATAAATGATGATTATGTACATAGAGATTTTTTCTGGGTTAGATCTTCTTTTTATTCTCGAGTACAACGTTTCAGGGCTTGTTCTGGCCCCATCATCAGGTAAAACTGAACAGTAACTGTTAACTCCCAAATGCATGGTACATAAAACAATAGGACAATACCCTACCCTCGTCACTGTTCCCATGTATAAAGCATAATTTCTATGTATACACTGCTATTACTTTACATTCTATACATTTATACATACGTCTCTGTACATTTCTAAATCAATCAACAATTTTGTATAAGTATCTGCACAGTTCTAAATTGATCCATTAATTTTGCAGTAAACGACATCTTATATATTCATAATAACATGTATTCTATTAGCCATGTCATCTGTATCTATTGACCACCACATGTATTGCGTCGTCATAGCATTGCGACGTCATAAGCATTGTGACGTCACGGCCAGAGTTAACAGTTACTGTTCAGTTTTACCTGATGATGGGGCCAGAACCAGCCCTGAAACGTTGTACTCGAGAATAACAAGAAGATGTAACCCAGAAAAAATCTCTATGTTCATCAAATATCATCTTCTAAAATGCCAATCAAGCATCTGATGATTATGTAGTGTTCGAGATTTAAGACGGATGTCGGGGGTGGTGTCATGGAGTCTGAGTTTTCTCATAGCAGTATTTTCACATTTTGCCAAACAAGACCCTTAGTTTTGAATCCTAGATAAATGCTTGTGTGCAGGCATGAAGGCAGGTTGTAGTATTTACACATACTTTTTCACTTATTGATGTGAAAATAGCACAGCAGATATTGTTGGGTACATGGTATTTAATAGACTATTACGATTTTAAGGGTATTTTAAAGGTTTGTTTTTAGGGTTTCTAGTGAAAATGAAGTTTTAATAACCTTTTCTTGGCAGCGTATGACAAAGAAGACCAAGTTCATCCGGGACCTAGTGAGAGAAGTTGTTGGCTTTGCCCCTTACGAGAAACGATGCCAGGAGTTGCTTAAGATCTCCAAGGATAAGAGAGCACTCAAATTCTGCAAACGTAGGGTAAGATGCATTGATTGTGTGTTTCAGACCTCTATTATTTTCTGACGCTAAAGCCCCTGGTTGGATTCCCCACATGGGTACAATGTGTGAAGTCCATTTCTGCCGTCACCTGCTGTGATATTGCTGGAATATTGCTTAAAGTGGCATAAATTAAACTCACTCACACATTTTATTTTAACGGAGGTTGTGGCACAGCTTAGTGGTCAAAGTGTTTGTCATCATTCTGAAGACCAAGGTTCAATTCTTGACTTTGGTACGATAGGTGAGGCCTGTTTCTGGTGTCCACCGCCATGATATTGCTAAAGCAGCTTAAAACAGGGAAAGAAACCTTTCAATACATTTCCCCACTAGACCACATGACCAGTGAGTGGACAATAATTAGTGGTCCTGTCTGTACTTCACTTGTCCAAAATAACATTCGTCAATACTTGTCAATACAAAATTCACTGGCCACCAGGACCACTGCAGACTTATCATTTAGTGGTCCTGATGAATTTTTACCAGCCAGGGAACACAGGACCTACGTAAATTTCACACACTGTTTTGAGAGACTGGAAGTATTTTCTCTGTCTGAATTAAATCCCATTTTACGAAGGTTGTAGATGTCGGCTCTCCGTGTATCAAGTCACACCATGGTGGACTGAAATACTGTTCAATGTAATATTTAAACTAATTTTCTTGCTCAGTAACACAACGGATGCAGTAGTGTTCTAGATTTATTTTCTTTCGATGTCATTACTTTGCTATATCAATATTTACACTGTGAAGTACATTCTATATTGATGACGTAGGACTTTGATTTTTATCTTTGAATTATGTGACTAACTCAAGTTTTTTATTCTTACAAAATTTCACATTTTTGACAATTGAGGTAGGGAAATAAATGAACAATTGGTGTTAAATGTTGCTTATTTGGTTTTTCAGCTCGGCTCTCATATCCGTGCCAAGAGGAAGAGGGAAGAAATGACCCAGATCCTCCACAAACAGAGAAAGGCACAACAGTCTGCAAAGTAAACTGTACAAATTCAAAAATAAACTAAGGTCCTGTATTCAAGGCTTATGTTATGTCTGAATGTGACGGGACTACACTTGAAAGTTGACTCTGTAGAGGAAAATCATTTAACTTAGTTGAAGAGTAACAGAATACCTGAAGCATACGACTGTATGGATAACAACTTCTTCATTATTGACTCGTTAACTTGTAGAATGCCAATAAAACGAAGATTACCCTTGTCTGCAACTCAGCATGGATGAGATGTGAGTTTAGCATGTGCGAAAGTATTTCCATTAACATTTCATGAACCCCGAGTCATTTTGTAATAATTAAAACACAAGGTGTGATACCATTTCCTTGGTGTTAAATTTATGGAACATTGTCCATCCATGTTAACAACTTTGTTTGGAAATGTTTGTTGCAAGATTTGAAACTTGAATGATGGCCAATGCCTGGCTCCGAGGACCCATTCGTTGTGGTTCCCCAAGAATAGTGCTGTTACACAGGCTGTATGTGGTCTAGCTTCGTCATATTGACAGGTGACATTTATAGCATTGTAACTCTGTCTACATATATAAATCTTGACTCATCACTTACCAAACAGTTCTCCAACACTGGTAAGGCCATACTGTGATATTGCAGTCAGTGATGTCCAAAAAACTTTTGTTTCGTACACATTTTGTCAAACTAACACTCTTGAAGGTCTGTGGTCCTGGGTATCTGTTGTACTGGGGTCAGCGGGCCCTGAGTGACTTGGTGAACCTTGAAGGTCTGTGGTCCTGGGTATCTGTTGTACTGGGGTCAGCGGGTCCTGAGTAACATGGTGAACCTTGAAGGTCTGTGGTCCTGGGTATCTGTTGTACTGGGGTCAGCAGGTCCTGAGTAACATGGTGAACCTTGAAGGTCTGTGGTCCTGGGTATCTGTTGTACTGGGGTCAGCAGGTCCTGAGTAACTTGGTGAACCTTGAAGGTCTGTGGTCCTGGGTATATGTTGTACTGGGGTCAGCAGGTCCTGAGTTACATGGTGAACCTTGAAGGTCTGTGGTCCTGGGTATATGTTGTACTGGGGTCAGCGGGTCCTGAGTAACATGGTGAACCTTGAAGGTCCTGGGTATCTGTTGTACTGGGGTCAGGTCCTGAACCTTGAAGGTCTGTGGTCCTGGGTATCTGTTGTACTGGGGTCAGCGGGTCCTGAGTAACATGGTGAACCTTGAAGGTCTGTGGTCCTGAAGGTCTGGGGTGGGTCCTGGGTATCTGAAGGTTGTACTGGGGTCAGCCAGGTCCTGAGTTACATGGTGAACCTTGAAGGTCTGTGGTCCTGGGTATATGTTGTACTGGGGTCAGCAGGTCCTGAGTTACTTGGTGAACCTTGAAGGTCTGTGGTGCTGGGTATATGTTGTACTGGGGTCAGTGGGGTAACATGGTGAACCCTGAGTAACATGGTGAACCTTGAAGGTCTGTGGTCCTGGGTATCTGTTGTACTGGGGTCAGCGGGTCCTGAGTAACATGGTGAACCTTGAAGGTCTGTGGTCCTGGGTATCTGTTGTACTGGGGTCAGCGGGTCCTGAGTAACATGGGTTTTGTGATTTCAGATCAGATGGTGTGAACCTGTAGAAGTTTATGGCCAAGTTTGCTTGTCACCCCCAACCTCTCAATTTGCCACATATCATGTGATGTGATCTGCTAAAACTGGTGTAAAACATGGACGACAATTGTTTGCTGCCTTGTTGCTTTCATTTTAGCAACCAGCTTCAGTCTGGGCTAGTACAAGCAGCCGCACATACACACGCATGCACGTCGTCATATGAGCGAAATATTCTCAAGCACAACGTAAAACCCAATTTCACCTCACCTCACTTATTTTAACAACTTGTATTTCCTGAATAGTTATCACAAATTGTCCTTTTGTATCTGGAAGTCGGGGAGATATGTGTTGTTTACACTCAGTCAAGACGGGGGCGATGGGGTAGTCGAGTGGTTAAGGCATTTGCTCATCACGGTGAAGACCTGGGTTCGATTCCCAACATGGGTACTATGTGAGAAGCCCATTTCTGTTGACCCGGCCATGATATTGCTGGCGTAAAAACTCACTCAAGACACTTGTGTTACACTGATCAATCCACATGTGCAAGTTTCAGCATTGTGTTTGCAAATGGTTGAAAAACAGACCATCTCTGCACTGATATTGCCTCAGAGAGCAGCAGCCTGTAAAACGAAGTGTTAGGTGATACACGCAGAAAAATATGGCTACAGCTCCCAACTCTCCATTAGGATTCAGGGTTTGGTCCCCAGGAAACCATGCTGGCTGTAAAAGGCGATGACAGGCAGAGTGGTCATTCATTGTGACTCCCTATATTGCATGTCATTCAGTACCACATTGTGTGGATCATTGTTCATAATATGATCACGGGGTTGTCTGGTTCAGACTTTCTTTATTTACCAAAGTGTATAACTGATGTTTTGGAAAACACATACCAAATGTTTGTGACTTGTAAGTGACAATCTAAACCCTTTTCAAAAATCCTTTTGGTTTTTTTCAGTATGATCCCATAGCAACAGATGTGTACTTCCCTTTGTGTGTCTGTTCACATTTCACCTGTGAAGATCTGGGTTAGAATTGATCTTCAGCAACCCATGCTTGTAAGAGGCGATTAACGGGATTGGATGGTCAGGTTCACTGATTTGGTTGACACATGTCATCATATCCCAATTGCGTAGATCGATGCTCATGCTGTTGATCACTGGATTGTCTGGTCCAGACTCGATTATTTACAGACCGCTGCTATATAGCTGGAATATTGCTGAATGCAGCGTAAAACTAAACTCACTCGGTTGACAAGTCGGAGTCTTCTTCCTCCTGACAAGAAGGTTGAATGTGAGGTGTTCAGCAAGTACTGTTGTTATCCATCAAATCTGGAGGATTCAATAGATCTTGCAGGAATAACAAACAACATATTATATTTTAGCTTTTATTCTGAGATTCAGATAATTGCAAAAAAAATCAATATTATTTACAAAGAATAACAGATCTTGCTTGGATACACGATCAGGAAGTAAACAGGTATTCATGAGCATTGTAAATTCAGGATCCTGGCAAATGGTAGGTTGGATGTCTGTGGAACACTGATCACCTACTCCAGAATCTGTAGCCGAGGATAAACATATCAATTTTCCATGTATCCTAAATGCTTTGTAGGGAATCATGGCTATAAAAAATGATATTTTATGTACAGCTATAGATTCCAGTGATGACAACTACAAAATCTGAGGAACTGTCCATGATTAAGTCTAATCCAGATTCGGGGCAACATCAGACAAACATGTTGCATTCTACCATGAAGATGTACTTCAAACAAAAACATTACATTTTAGCAATGAATAGTTAGGGCACATTATGCTACTGCTTCTCAACATATTTGGAAGTTATGTTACTGTACGATGAATGACGGTGCATCCTTCCAGCAGATACTTTATCAGAGGAATGAATTTGTCATGAAAGAGATACTGATACAACATGAGGGTACAAGAGACATTTACATCTTTAATCTGTGCCCTTCCCATGAAAGATGTTCAGTCATGTTTGACAAGTGTACTGACAACTACCAGATGCTATTCACTGCATTAGGACTGCATGCATGCCAGGTGTACATCCTTACACAGTCTTACATGGCCAGCATCTGAATAGGATTTCAGTCTGCTTTTATGTGAGAACTAAACTTCAAGAGACACAGGTCGAAAAGGTTTACCACTTGGGGTAGCCTAGTGGTTAAAGCGTTAGCTCGTCACACCGAATGTTGATTAAAGCAGCATAAAACTAAACTCACTGATGTGAGAAGTAAGCTTGAAGAGACACGGGTCAGAAAGGTTTACTTCTCTTCACGTACACACAAGCAGGGGTATGTTGTTGACATGGACAAAACTTCGTAGATGCAAACCTGGCATACAAAACCTGACAGCAGATCCTGGAATGGGTAAGGAGGTAACTGTTCATTGCACCTCAGACTTGGACACCCTTGCCCCCGAGTTTGGCTATTGAATAGACACAGGCATCAAGCTGCAAACATGGGCTTTTCAAGATCTGAAAACCATCTGGTGCATGTTTCATGCACTTCTATTTCACCAGAACCCTGGTTATTGGCTAAATATATTTGTGTAGTTATTGTCACCCCTATCTACATTAATGCAAATGATGAGGCTGAAGAAAGTGATGGACACACTGGAATGGGTAGGTACATGTATTGGTCCTCATGCAAAATGAGCACAGGTCATTCGTGAATTCCTGTTCCCTTAAAGTTGTCAACACGAACATTAATCTTCTCATGCCAAATGGGCACAGGTCATGCTTGAACTGCTGTTCCCTTGAAGTTGACAACACGAATCTACTCATGCTAAACACATGAGGCTTATGACCTATACACAGCCTTTTGTGCAAATTTATTCTCAGATGAAATAAGTAATAACCGTTTTAAAAAATGTGTAACTGAATGTAACCCTTGTCAACAGAAACTGACAAAAATGTATGATAACACTTCTAGACAGCAGGAGTCCATTAATCAATCTAAACATATAGAAAAGACCCAATTTAAATGTATAAGCAGCTTTTCTATATATTTAGGCAGTGCGAATCCTTTTAATGTGACGTTATATATTAATGCAAAAACTGACCTGAACACCGCTGTGGAAATTGTCAAATTTGTTATCTATGCAATTGACTAGTTCAGTAACAAGCTGAAAGACAATCACAATAGAAGTAGACACCCCAATTTCTATGTGAATGAAAACAACAAAATATTATGCATAATTTCCATATACAAATAAACTGACATAAAAAAATCCCTGAATGCAAGACAAACATCTATTTTGTACCCTTAGCCACCAATTGGTGTGAAATGGAATATACACATCGCATGTTTATGATGTTTACTGATTTCCCAATTGTTAAAATTGGTTGGTTAAATGTAAACATGACTTATATGATCAGGGCTGGGACGATTCACTGATGCACCAATACATCACAATACATTTAAGTTTGATACAGCTATCGTATTGTCGACTGGTGTATTGATACACAATTTTTTTTCAAAACAGTATTATCTTAAACATGTTAAAGTACTTATTTAGGGAAACATACACAAGTATGATAGTGTTATTGCTATACACAAATACCTTGAAATAAATCATTTTAAATCGTAATACTGTGTCATTCTTTCAAGGTGTATATATCGCGATACGTATCATATCGTGACATAGTGTATCATCCCAGTCCAATATATGATATTCAATAAAGCCCATACATCCTTAGCAAATCAAATAAAAGTACCAAATTCTTCAATGAAGAATGTTATTAACCAACAATGAAGTTTCGTTATGACTTGATCTTTGATAACACCATTGTTATTGTTGATTATGAACAACAAATGGCCAGACAAAGATTCTTAATTGTGAGAAAAGATATTCAAACTAGTTGTTAAGTATTTTTAAAAAAATGCAGTCAATCATGAAGTGGGGCAAGTTATTTTATTAGAAATCATTTTAGAGTTCGACTTTTCATGGTGGTTTGACACTAAATATTAATTTATAACATCTAAAAATGATTAGACAACCATTTTATTGCTGGAAAATTATTGGTTAGTTTGAGATTCATTAAATCAAAACTGCTCTACACTGCTTAATAATCTGGAAAGTTTTTCATCAAGGTATTAACATATATTTGTTATTTATTTAAAGACTATCTATATATGCTACAAAATATAGTTAAGGTCCATTCATTGGCTCAACAGAACAACTAAAAGCAAAGAATCTGTCACTGATTTCTATCTTGTAGCATACTAGTAAGTTGAACATGATAATAGAGAAAATCGTACATGAAAGGACTAACATCCTTGCGTTTCGCCAAATGACATTTTACATTGCATATCACATGGGAGTATTTGCTGAAGCAGTTGTTGCAGTTTGTACAGTTCAGCATTCCATGGCTATGTACAATTACAACATCAGGAGAAATGTCTATTCATATCTACCTCATATATACATCACAATTAAAATATATAAGACAAGAAAACATTATTGAAAAATTGATATTTACATGGATATGATACACAAACAAATATAACAGGGCTTGGAGCCCTCACAACACTTTGGATCAAAGAAAGAAATATTGCACATCTTGTGTTCCTCTTGAGTCATTGCACTAAAGCTGGGAACGAGTCTGGTAATGGTCAATGTTCTACAATATAAAACTAGCATCTATATTTCTAGGTTACCATTTCCTGCTTGCATACCATGAAGCAACATGTTAATGTCGGCCATTTTGAAAAATTACACTGTGTAGAAACACATGGGAATGATTGAATTCCTGAAATGCATCACATAAATGCAATCAATCCTCAACACTTTTTCACATCTGGTGCCAAATTTTACTTGTGGGTACAGAATTTGCTCTGGGTTACAGGAGTCCATAGTTCTTCCATAACATATTCCATTATCAACAATGGTTTAATCTGCTTCAGAAACAAACCCAAATTAAGAAATGGTGTCCGTGAGGAATCCACACTCATAATTACTTCTTTTTTTTTATATGATACTCAAAGGCATGTCACAATATAAGTAAAGATCATCAGTTTTCTGATATGCGCTTGAAAAAAGTTGAGTGAGGCAGTGAAAAAGTTGTTTTAATAATTTATGTTTGAAAGACCCCACATGTTAGAAATTACAAAAAGTACCCATGTCTGAATAATGTATTTATTCTTTGGCTAATGATAAAGAAAAAAATGCACACACTAAGAACGCATCACTATCAAGGGACAAACAGACAAGACCTGAGTTACGAAGGTATATTTCTGAATGGCTGCCTACCAAATCTCATAGATGCAGGATGATAAAAAATACAGGCACCAACTATCTGACCAGACAGAATACTGAATGGCTCTAGCAGACACAGAATAAAATACTCTCTTTTAAAAATACTTCAGTAACAAAATTAATCATGAAGTATAAACCTATGTGAACATCATCTTAATAAAATAATTATAACAAAACAAGTAATACCAGGAGACATTTCAGATTTTCAATCAAACATTTACAATCTGCTGTAAATTTATTAAATCTAGTCTCTGTAGATGTTTCAAATGATTGAGCTTATGTAAAGCACACTCACACAACGATGCATTGAGTGAAAATACTAAACCAATTATGTAAAAGTTTGGCTTTGACTTACCATTGCTATGGAGAATGAAATAAACAAGAATGACTTCATGTGTGATACTTGGAAGACAACTAGAAACAATCTAGTTCTTATTGATGTTGATTTGACATTCAAGTGCCTTCATTTTATGATCATCTGATGCTACATGGGACAATGTAAGGTCAACTGGACCATCCAAGAAACTGTCAAATGGTAATATTATCATAACTTACCTATAAGTACTACAGAGATAAAAGTACTGTGAACACCCAGATATACTACAGGGTACTGTGAACACCTGGATATACTACAGGGTACTGTGAACACCCAGATATACTACAGGGTACTGTGAACACCCATATATACTACAGGGTACTGTGAACACCCAGATATACTACAGGGTACTGTGAACACCCAGATATACTACAGGGTACTGTGAACACCCAGATATACTACAGGGTACTGTGAACACCCAGATATACTACAGGGTACTGTGAACACCTGGATATACTACAGGGTACTGTGAACACCCAGATATACTACAGGGTACTGTGAACACCCAGATATACTACAGGGTACTGTGAACACCTGGATATACTACAGGGTACTGTGAACACCTACAGATATACTACACAGGGTAGGGTATACTGTGAACACCCAGATATACTACAGGGTACTGTGAACACCTGGATATACTACAGGGTACTGTGAACACCCAGATATACTACAGGGTACTGTGAACACCTGGATATACTACAGGGTACTGTGAACACCCAGATATACTACAGGGTACTGTGAACACCCAGATATACTACAGGGTACTGTGAACACCCAGATATACTACAGGGTACTGTGAACACCCAGATATACTACAGGGTACTGTGAACACCTGGATAGACTACAGGGTACTGTGAACACCCAGATATACTACAGGGTACTGTGAACACCCAGATATACTACAGGGTAATTGTCTTCATCATTGCTAGCCAATCACTTCCAGATAGACTGCACCAGTGGGACTTGAGTTTGCATATGAATCTGTTCAAGAGGAGTCTCCAGGTGTGCTTCAGCATCCTATTCAAGTCTAAGGGACCAGTCATTATTATAGATGCGATGGGTAAATGATTTCTTTCTCATGCAGTGTCAAAGAAGATTTTTCACATTTATCATATACATTTTCTACCAATAATCTTAACTCTACTGGTGTAACCCTTTTAATTCAACAGATTTAGGAAATTAATATTCAATATCGAAACAATTTATGATACAGTAGCACATTATAAGAAACAATTAGCTATTTTGCACATAAATAGTGATGCTTTCATTAACATTTTCTTAAAGATTGAAATAAGACCTTTACATAAATTTGTTTAACTCCCAATCAAGTAATGATAATTTGAGGTGACCAAACCGGTCACTGACCCCTCCCTTATATCCAGTGACTGGACAACAGTGAGATTCTGTTAGAGGATCCATGTATCAATGACATACATATGCTTCTGTATCACAAGAAACTGTTCTAGAGTAACTAACAAATACCTGACAGAGATGGCACGTAACTTCTAGCGTTTGCTTGCAGTCACATTGGTCCTGGTTTGAGTCCCTGATTCCTGGTTTCTCTGCTACAGTGAGAACCTCATGTCCCACATCATGGTTTGACTAAAATCTAATCTGATCGCATCCAAGACCACGCAAACAAACTGACAAAATGCATCTATGGTGGGTTGTGTAACCACAGGTTAAACCTTGCACATTGAATAATTATTATCACAGAGATTTCCCTCAATGTAGAGATAGCACTATCAAACTTTGTTCCCTGTAAGGCAAACATACGTTTATCTTTTTGTACTACAAACAATAGAAAAAATGCTCATTACAGACAAATGCATAACACATTGAAAGACGGGTCATGACTGCATACGCCTTCAAAATCCACCAACAGGTAATAATGAGACATGAGAGTAAGCTGTCCAGTTAACATCAAGTAAAGCCAATGTTTATCTGAAACTGTGTATGTTACAAACAAGTTCTACACATACTACATGCTCACATAGATTTCTAAAGTTCAAGATGAGATATTTTCACTAAAAAACCAAAAACTACCGAAAATTGTGAAAACAAATCTCAACTACAAACTTAGAATCAGCAGTACATATTTCTATTCACATCACTGACGCTAACGCGAAACTACAAGCCACACCCGTCCTACCCACCTAATTTCACCCCCGCCCCAACACAAGTATTTGTACATATTTTTATTTGCGTCATTGAAGCTGGTGCAAAACTACAGGACACCCCCATCCTCCCCACCCCCAAAATACTTGTGTTGGGGGGACCAGATCATTCCATCATTTCACCTCCATCCCTAATTCTGTCATCAGACCTGTAACAAGTTATTGCGGAGACTTGTTGATAGTTTTATCAACAAACATATATCACATCATTTATCTTCTTAAGAGTCGTGTTATGGACACGGACCCTGGAACACAAGTATTTTGTTTTGACGTGATGTAGGCTACTCACATTACCCTGTGGACACGTGGTAAAACCATCGTGTTACAAACTTTCTTCTTTAACACTTATTCACACTGGAATGTTATAACAATGCAATGTTATACCCATTATTAGTTATATTCACTGGCTAATGTATATAGTCACTTCTATTCATTAGCTACCTATATAGTCATTCCCATGATATGTCTTGTGCATAGCACAGTGTGACACTGTAACATAGCACAGTGCGACACTGTAACATAGCACAGTGCGACACTGTAACATAGTGAGACACTGTAACATAGCACAGTGCGACACTGTAACATAGCACAGTGCGACACTGTAACATAGCGCGACACTGTAACATAGCACAGTGCGACACTGTAACATAACACAGTGCGACACTGTAACATAGCACAGTGCGACACTGTAACATAGCTCAATGCGACACTGTAACATAGCACAGTGCGACACTGTAACATAGCACAGTGCGACACTGTAACATAGCACAATGCGACACTGTAACATAGCACAATGCGACACTGTAACATAGCACAATGCGACACTGTAACATAGCACAATGCGACACTGTAACATAGCACAATGCGACACTGTAACATAGCACAATGCGACACCCATAGGAAACAGCTCAGTAGAACCCATTAGGAACCAACCTTTTAATATTTTGAGGGACATCCACCTTCCAGCTGACTATTTCTGTAATACTTTATAAACCAGAGGCCAGTTATTTCCTCTAGAAATGCCTGTTATCTTGAGACAGTCGTATCTGTTAGATACTGGTGTAAGTATACTGTCAGGTGACTTAGGTAATGAGACAAAATGGAGCATTAGGTTTGGTTGACTCATGTGTCCCCATTCATCAATACTGGTCAGAAGGCTCTGTTAAACAGGAAGCGCTATCTATTTGGTAGAGGGGTGTGGACTAGTGAATGGCTTCTTTGTTACATACTGCTCAACTTTTCATGAGGATACTTCTCTCATTCACAGAATAAACTAATTACTGGACTAGAATTTACTCGTCTATTATCCCTATCAAAAGTTGAGTCACATATCAACGTCTATTACAGAACCAGAGATAAGAGACATGTAAAATATCACGTAGACTATATTGAAGAAGTGGTTGGTCCCATCAGGCTGGCCGTCTCCATCTGAAGGAAGAAGAGCTTGGTCCAAATTAAGTAGGGCACCAGTCTATAAAATGGAGCCTTACTACTGACAAGTCCAAGTCACCTACTCCAGATCTCCATGTGAAGAAATTATCAAAGGCTTCAACAAAGTTGTCAGCCACTGAGGTCACACTAACAACGGATATGATACATAACAATTCTAGGTTGAAAGACTGGCCAACATGGATTTCGTGAAGTAAGTGAAGCGATCATGCAACGATATGGCAGCATGTATCACATGGTCCAATCACAATTGAGTATGCAAATGAGGAAGGCACGTGTCTGATGTCACAAGGACATCCTGCTGTTATTGGCGTTTTTTCTTGCTAATGGTTGTCCCTCCTAGATCTGGACGATATTCACGGTATTGCAGCTGAAAGAGCAGAAGAGAGAATTGGTAAAATCCTTGTACATCAGCAGCAGCTTCAGCATGTGTGTATTTGAACAGAATCTTCAAGACATGTAATATCTTGGACAGGACTTGGTATATCCTGGAATATCTTATCAAGGCAAGATAAACAGAGGCATTTTATATCAAAGAACATTATAGTAAGGTGAATTGTATCATGGCATGTTATATCAAGGCATGCTCTATCATTGTGTGTTATATCAAGGCATGCTCTATCATTGTGTGTTATATCAAGGCATGCTCTATCATGGCATGTTATGTCAATGCGTGCTATGCCATGGCATGCTATAACAATGCATGTTATTGACACATTGTATCATGACATGTTATAACAATGCATGTTATATCATGGCATGTTATGTTTAGGCATATCAAGACATGCTATATCATGGCATGTTACATCAAGGCATGCTGTATCATCCCATGTTCTACAAAGGCATGTACGAGAAATTTTGCTATTCAAATCAGAGACAGCAGTGGTTGAACCAACATCTCAGGTAATATAGTGCTAAGCTGGAAACGAGTGTCTGAATAAAACCAGGAGGTGAGGAGATTACATATATGTATGTATGCTATGTCTGTGTGGGTGTACTGTGAGTGTCACCACCTACCAGTTCACTGTCAGAGGGAACCCGAGACAGGTAGTCCAGCAACTCATTATTGGATATTGCATTTGGCTTTCTCAGCTTCTTGGTGAACTTGTTAATACCTGGACAGAAGAATTACAATCAATTATAGTTGGATATTTTTCTGTTGTATGCTTAGGTCAATACATTGCCAATGTTTGATGAGAATACCAGTATTGGACCAAGGAGGTATTAGATACTCCCTAGACATGTACTCATGCTTGGATAGTGATAGCTCGTACAACACAAAGTACTCATCCCAGGCTAGGAGAAGGAGCCGGAGACATTTACTTGTGACATTTACTCATGGACTTTTACCACTAAGTTGATGGTATCTCTATACCAGATAATCTTAACGAACGAAATATAAATTATTCTTACCGGTACATACTTTCAGTAAGCTGGTTCAACACAAGGTACTCACCCCAGGCTAGGATATGGAGCCGGAGGGGTTCTAGGTACTTTCAGTAAGCTAGTTCAACACAAGGTACTCCCCCCAGGCTAGGAGAAGGTGCCGGAGGGGTTCTAGGTACTTTCAGTAAGCTGGTTCAACACAAGGTACTCACCCCAAGGCTAGGAGAAGGAGCCGGAGGGGGTTCTAGGTACTCACCCAAGGCTAGGAGAAGGAGCCGGAGGGGTTCTAGGTACTTTCAGTAAGCTGGTTCAACACAAGGTACTCACCCAAGGAGAAGGAGCTTCTAGGACTTTCAGTAAGCTGGTTCAACACAAGCTCACCCCAGGCTAGGAGAAGGTGCCGGAGGGGTTCTAGGTACTTTCAGTAAGCTGGTTCAACACAAGGTACTCACCCCAGGCTAGGAGAAGGTGCCGGAGGGGTTCTAGGTACTTTCAGTAAGCTGGTTCAACACAAGGTACTCACCCCAGGCTAGGAGAAGGAGCCGGAGGGGTTCTAGGTACTTTCAGTAAGCTGGTTCAACACAAGGTACTCACCCAAGGCTAGGAGAAGGAGCCGGAGGGGTTCTAGGTACTTTCAGTAAGCTAGTTCAACACAAGGTACTCACCCCAGGCTAGGAGAAGGAGCCAGAGGGGTTCTAGGTACTTTCAGTAAGCTGGTTCAACACAAGGTACTCACCCAAGGCTAGGAGAAGGAGCCAGAGGTTCTAGGTACTTTCAGTAAGCTAGTTCAACACAAGGTACTCACCCAAGGCTAGGAGAAGGAGCCAGAGGTACTTTCAGTAGCTAGTTCAACACAAGGTACTCACCCCAGGCTAGGAGAAGGAGCCGCAGGGGTTCTAGGTACTTTCAGTAAGCTAGTTCAACACAAGGTACTCACCCCAGGCTAGGAGAAGGAGCCAGAGGGGTTCTAGGTACTTTCAGTAAGCTAGTTCAACACAAGGTACTCACCCCAGGCTAGGAGAAGGAGCCGGAGGGGTAACAGATATAACACAATAGTTCCAACAGCGAGGATGATTACAGCTAGTCCCGACAACCAGGGAACCGTCCAGTTGAATGTGCTGGAATGAAGATAAATGAAAAGAACCGCTGATACTCGCAATCAATCCATAGCACAAAGATTTGAAATCAAGTTATCACTGCAAAATATTCAAGTTACTTTAAAAGTTAAATATGTTTGATAACTATACAGAAAGAATTATTGAGAAAGAGATTATAACGCAGTACTGACTTTTTCACCTTCTCCCCCAATGAGGCCACCATGTCCATGCCCTGCTGCACCTGCAGACACACCTCCTGGATGGCCTGTAGCTTCTCCTTGAAACTCTTCTTCTCCTCCTGGAGAACACAACATCACATCACATCAGTCACAGGTATTGCTGGGAGACAGAGAGTAAAGTGGTGCATACACACGTAACACTCAGATCCATGGCGCAACATAGTTTTGTGTCTGACAGTGTCATTTGTGAACTGGTGTGTACTATTCAAAAGAAGTAAAAGCACATCTGATTTTAAATACTTAAATCTACACATAAACCAGGGTCACATGGAAAAACATAGGTGTTCCTTAACATATTTTGAACAGTATATAACATCATGTTGATGCATATACATCACTGCTCGAATGCAAATATTGAATATTAAATAGCATCTAAACAATGTCATATACAGCATATCACTGTCGCAACAATCTGCCATAGATCCAAGTCCTACATATGCAAGTGAATCATCAGTGCTTCACGGGTATCCACATTCCTCAATCACCAGTGAACACATGTGCAATACTGTGTAAATGTGACATATGTCTGTGTATACCTTACATAATAAAATGAGAGCTTAAAATTAACATTAGTCTGCTTGTCTTAGACAAATGAAGTTCAGGAAGACATGTACTTGTGATACTTACTCATGACATGTACTCATGGACTAAGCAGATGGTATCTCTATACCAGATAATCTTAACGAACAAAATATAGATTATTTTTATGTACGTAAAAAACAAACAAACTACTTTTGTTTGAACCCTACTGATGGCTGGCATTGAAGAATGTGTTCATTAGATGTCCGCAAGGTTATATGTACTATAAACATTAGTGATGTAGTCTGAGAGCTGATTGGTCAGAGCACTCCCTGCTTTCCCTCTCCCGATAAGCAGGCTTTATTTTGATTGGTTGGTTTTAAACAGGAACTACACTACAGAGAGGTGGATGTATTCACGGTCTGTAAGGGACTGTAAAGTATAAATACAGACTTGTGAAGCATTGATGATTTAGTTGGAAGTGGATAGTCACAGACATGTTAGACTTGTAGTGAAGACACACACACAGGTCACAGATAATATGTTTCCACACACAATAATCTTGTACAGGAAGCTAAACCCCAGAAGGTTACTGGAATATGAGCTAGTCGACTAGTAACAGGAATGGCTAGAAGGTGATCATTGTTGGATAGCTGACAATCTGGTTACCTCATATAATACTAAACGGAATAAAAACATTGTAATAAAACATGGGTAAACAAGCATGATAATACGCTAAACATTTATCTCAAAATATCAAACAACAATATATTTATCCAATTATATGCTATACTTTGAAAGCTTTCACAAATCTCTAAAACATTATTTTCAATATTTTTTCAATTTTTTTAAATACTGTATGTGTTTCATAACTATTTGATATAACAGAGATAATCAAGTTTGGTACATATTAACTGAAAGATAGCTACTTCTAGAGTTGATTAGGTCATATAAGATAAATTAGATATTATGCAAAAAGATATAGTTTTTTCGGCCCTGTAGCTCACCTTCAACATGATTTCTCAGTATATAAAAAATGGAAATAAAGCAAACCATAACAAAACTCAATGAACATGACAGGTTGATGCAAACTATTTAGAAGATGAGTTGCCATGCCTCATTCAGAACCAGAATTCTGAAACGTGTCTGAACAGACACAATCGCTAGGACCAATACCCCACAACAGCTCCACTCGTCTTGAAATATTAATTATTTACAAGTCATTACAAAAATGTGATAAAAATACATTTTGGCACATATAGAAATACTTAAAGACATTTGGGATTAAAATATCACTGTTCATGTGGTTGCCATAGTAATAACAGTTGACATATATACAAAACTTTCTGCTTCAAAATTCCAGGGAGATGTTGTGAGATAAAACCAGTCATAAAAATATATTTTCAACCAGTTACTGTTTATCAGATCACACATTCCCACTTCAATGAAACAGATGGCAGGGCACTAAACAAAGTGTACAGGTCAAATATGTCTCAAGTCACATCAATGTTAGAAATACTAGCTCGGGTTTCAATGAGATTAGTTTGAACAAAGTCATTACAGGGGTCATCCATGGAAAGTTCTATACCTTATTGTTTCAAAACACATAGAAACAAATATCTCGGAAACATATTTTCCACTTTTTACAAATAACAGTTTGTAACAACCACCTTTTCATCAAGCTAGGCATTATCATATAGTTCTACAATTATCTTTAATCGCAATTCTTTATGAGTCCATGACATATAAAATAATTAAAACATGACAAACATTCAACTACGCAATGGTCAATGTCAGTACAAGAAAGTCAGGTAGAAAGTAGTTTACCTTCAAAATAAAACTATACATCCCCAGTTTCAAAAACCAACTCAAAAGTCCCCGTGACCTTCATCATAACCACAGCAGACTGTGTCAGAACACATGGCCATAATCAACTCATAAGAATATTTTCATCCTCAGTTGACCTACTTCAAAACCATAACGTCATGTGCTTCATCATATAGTCACCAACTTCTGCCGTTCAAACAATTACTTCAAAACATCCATTCTTAAATTTCATTAAACAAATTCACCATGACAGTCATTTCTGTGACTAGAAAATATATTTCTTTTCTTGGAATGGCATGGTATATTAGAAATGGTTATTACATTTCAATGTCCACTTCTGTTACACACAGAAACTGGATGAAAGCATCCTTGTGCACTAACTATGGCCTCTATATCACTTTTTTATTTCAACGATTTTCTTGGAATAAACATCTATGAAAATCAAACATAAAAGCAAAATCAACATCTACAAACCATACCAAATACCCTGGATTTCACACATTCCCACAGATCAGAGAGGTTCCTTGTCATCCAATCATTTACAGGATTTGTGCTCAACTGGTGTTGCAGACCTTCAGCTTCATGAATTACTGGTAAGTCTTAATAAACTCCATTGGACAGTCATCCTGAACATCAAGTTGGATTGACCTTTCTGCCTATGTAACTTAGCCAGTGTAAACTGTTTACTCCAATGATCATGGAGGCACCATGGGTGGCACCAGAGTCTATGGCACCACAGTTTGGTGTGCAGGATCTTTGCAGGTTTAAGTCCCTGATTTACCCTGATTAGAATCCCTTGTTTTGTCAGCAACATACCCGTGCTCGAGAGTTTTAGTTTTGTTGCAAACGTTATTCACCATTTATGGATTTACTCCCATTTAAGTATTTTCTCCTACGGAATGTAACTGAAATACTGTCCATTAAACCAGACTCAGTCATCATGAAGCAGAGGTAAATATATCTATACATGGAATAATGATATACATGACCATTGTATCATAAAAGGACTCATCTTGAGTTTTTTTCAGGATGACCTAAATAGCTGACTGTAATTAAACTGATTAAGGTCTCTCAAACATTCCTCTCTGTCATGGAAGGCAGTGAAGGTCAATTTTGCTTCCATCTATTTTGTTTGCATTCTGCTTAATCAACCTGCATATGAACTGGATAACAGATCTGTACCATTTATAAAGCTCTGTTGGTTTACAACCAACTGAACCATCAAGATGACAGGAAGATGGCAATATGTTCATCTTGTTACCATGGTAACGTACCTTTTGATCACTTTTTTTCACACTCTGAGGGGAGAATCAGTGAAATCATGAATACTATCTCATGTATATGACAGTTTGATTAACTATTGACAAAAGTCAAACCAGAATATAAACATAGATTAATAATATTTCATGCTGTGAAACTGTACATTTATATCAAACAAATATTTATATAGATAAAAGACACATCAACATTCCTCTGCATAGTTGTGAATGTACATATTAGCAATTATGAATGTCCGCTTTCTGAATCTGTATTTAACATTATCATTATCTTTAGAATGCAAAGATTAATCTTGAAAACCAAGCAGAATAAGCTGAATTCTTGCAGCCTAACTTAAAAGAGTTGAAAGAGGTGTGTTAACTGTGATTGGCAAACAGAAATGCACGCACAAGGAGGTTGATAGAATCACACTAGCCGGATGGAAAGCTGGCATTAAATAAGGCAATGAGGGTGAAGGTGCAACAACTGAAGTATGTCTCCTTATATCAACATTTACTACACGTATAACCAGATACGAACCATGAAGATCCGGGTTAGAATTGATCAATGGTCATGCTGTTGCTCACTGGATTGTCTGGTCCAGGCTCAATTATTTACAGACCTCAGCCATACAGCTGGAATATTGCTGAGTGTGGCATAAAACTAAACTCACTCACTCACTATAACCAGATACTTTTCTCAACAACATTAAAAAAAAATGTTGGGAGTCCAAATACAACAAATATAGACCCATTAACCCATTATAAAATACTAGGCCAAGGTTAAAAGCAAGTGGGAATTATGACGAATCAAAATGGCTAGAAAACTACTTATGTCACCACCATGTCTCTCCTGTCACGTGACTTTATGTCACCACCATGTCTCTCCTGTCATGTGACTTTATGTCACCACCATGTCTCTCCTGTCACGTGACTTTCATTAACATCATCAAAATAATAGCAAGAGTAATTGTAAAATAACTCTCCCCAAACGTAAATAAGTTCAGATCTGAACAACCACAGGTAGTCCTATGTTAATGTACGCCAGAGCAAACTGTAGACTTTTAACTTTCATACAAGGATAAAATATCCTCAAACAACAAGAAGAGGACCACTCTGAAGGGTGCAAAGAATCAAACACAGCAAATGTGAATTAATGGACCCAAATACCAGTTAAAACTTTTACCTTTTTCTGTGTTTAGAGAAAATCAAATATGAAAGTATTATTGTGCATACTTTATGTTTTTTGTATAATATATAAGTGCAGCAGAAAAACATAAATTGACAATAAAAAGGCAGTGATAAAGATATTAACCACAGATCTGTTATAAAAACAGGCAGACATTAGACAACTGTGTAATTTCCTTGGCTTGTGAGTCTGGAGTCAGTACTGCTCTGTATCTGCAGTGACTATCTATGTTATTCCCTATAAATCATTCTCATATTGTGTAACAGCAGGGTAATACCAAAATCATTTGAAAGGAGCAGCACAGAAATATGGCCACCACAGCTAGTGTACTTATATACATTTTAAAAAATGTTTACAAAAATCAGCATGATATAAACACCATTATGATATATACACCATTACAGCATGATATGTACACCATTACAGCATGATATATACACCATTATGATATGTACACCATTACAGCATGATATATACACCCATTACAGCATGATATATACACCATTACAGCATGATATATACACCATTACAGCATGATGTGTACACCATTACAGCATGATATATACACCATTATGATATGTACACCATTACAGCATGATATATACACCATTACAGCATGATATATACACCATTACAGCATGATATATACACCATTACAGCATGATATATACACCATTACAGCATGATATATACACCATTACAGCATGATATATACACCATTACAGCATGATATATACACCATTACAGCATGATATATACACCATTACAGCATGATATATACACCATTACAGCATGATATATACACCATTACAGCATGATATATACACCATTACAGCATATATACACCATTACAGCATGATATATACACCATTACAGCATGATATATACACCATTACAGCATGATATGTACACCATTACAGCATGATATATACACCATTACAGCATGATATATACACCATTACAGCATGATATATACACCATTACAGCATGATATATACACCATTACAGCATGATATATACACCATTACAGCATGATATATACACCATTACAGCATGATATATACACCATTACAGCATGATATATACACCATTACAGCATGATATATACACCATTACAGCATGATATATACACCATTACAGCATGATATATACACCATTACAGCATATGTACACCATTACAGCATGATATATACACCATTACAGCATGATATATACACCATTACAGCATATGTACACCATTACAGCATGATATATACACCATTACAGCATGATATATACACCATTACAGCATGATATATACACCATTACAGCATGATATGTACACCATTACAGCATGATATATACACCATTACAGCATGATATATACACCATTACAGCATGATATATACACCATTACAGCATGATATATACACCATTACATTACACCATTACAGCATGATATACACCATTACAGCATGATATATACACCATTACAGCATGATATATATACATTACCATTACAGCATGATATATACAGCATGATATATACACCATTACAGCATGATATATATATATACACCATTACAGCATGATATATACACCCATTACAGCATGATATATACACCATTACATGATATATACACCATTACAGCATATGCATGATATATACACCATTACAGCATGATATATACACCATTACAGCATGATATGTACACCATTACAGCATGATATATACACCATTACAGCATGATATATACACCATTACATCATGATATATACAACATTACAGCATGATATATTATACAATTATAGACTCTTGTAGAGGTCGATATCGGTTTTTACTGACCTGAGTAAAACAATATCGACTGAGCTTGCAAGGTCGATATTGTTTTTCTCAAGTCAATAAAACCGATATCGACCTCTACAAGAGCCTATAATTGTTTTATTATATAATGAAAGAGAAACGGGTTTTAACATAAACTTTTAATGCACACACTGTGCCATCTATCCGAGTGATCTGATTGGCTGACCTTGTCTATTTTTAGTTACCCAAGTCAATATCGTAATTTATCAGAAAACTCAAGTCAATATCGTGTTTTGTAGTCAATCATGTGACGGTCTTTTGACCAATCGTGGTACAGGAAAAATACTACCTATATAATAAACACCATTACAGCATATGTACACCATTACAGCATGATATATACACCATTACAGCATGATATATACACCATTACAGCATGATATATACACCATTACAGCATGATATGTACACCATTACAGCATGATATGTACACCATTACAGCATGATATATACACCATTACAGCATGATATATACACCATTACAGCATGATATATACACCATTACAGCATGATATATGATTATGATACACCATTATGCACCATTACAGCATGATATATACACCATTACAGCATGATATATACACCATTACAGCATGATATATACACCATTACAGCATGAGATATGTACACCATTACAGCATGACATGTACACCATTACAGCATGATATGTACACCATTACAGCATGATATGTACACCATTACAGCATGATATGTACACCATTACAGCATGATATGTACACAATAAGTTCCTATGACCCCAGAGAGCATCCAGGTATATGGTCTCTGTATCACACTTAGAGCATATAGAAGCAAACTGAATCAAGGCAACTCACAATGGGTTGTTTATAACAGAACCTCATTATTCAACATTTGTTCTATAGCAGTGATGAGGCACTGACATCCAGTTCTTCCTGGCTATTTGTGAGACAGAGGTACAACGTACAACAAGAAGTACCCATGAGACTGATTGTTTCAGGAATCAGGAGCCAACAAGACCTACTTAACATGCTGGTAAACATCCCATATTGAGGCTGCTTCTCTCAACATACATCAACATTGGTTGAACAGAATTATAACCCTCAAACACTACTTGCAAACAAGTGCTACTGCTATCACTGGAGTTTTACTTGTTCACAAATTAGGATTCTGAGGCTAGTAGATACAAAGGCAAGTTTGGTAGTCATGGCTACAGGGAGAGACTTCATGGCCACTGGCTTTAATAATCTTTTTCACAGACAGCAAGAGTCTGGCATGACATTGTACAAACTTGCCACAATGAATATAAAGTAATAATCTTGTCATCAAGTATGTTTTAAGGATGATTTTTAATTTTTAATTCTTATAATTCCAACTGCACCTGATTCATAAAATCATGTTCTTGGTATATACCGTCTACATACTACACTAGAGATTGGTAGCAGCTTTAACTAAACTTGACAAGATATGAGAGAGCTCTAAGAGGATTACTGTTTCCAACATTCACACGCTGAATTCATAAAGCACTAAGTTGTATGACAAAATCTTCTGCTTAGAGTTAAGGACAACTTGAAATCCTGAAAAAGGAAATCATATCCTATTAATTTCAAGCAATCAGACTCATTACTCTTTATCTTAACGTACCTTTTCTTTATCGTCATCATCATCATCGTCATCTTCATCGACATAATCCTAAATATGGAAATAAATATAAATTACACAAATGCATGACAATCTCACATTGTAATATTTGGATGACAATCTCACATTGTAATATTTGGATGACAATCTCACATTGTAATATTTGGATGACAATCTCACATTGTAATATTTCATGGTGTATGCACTAACTGATTCCACAAGTAACCAATCTAAGAGCTAAACTGTTCAACAAGGTTAAAAGAATCCAACTAGGTTACCTCCCCTTATCCAGAATTCGCTTACATCCTCTCAGATCTGATTCAGAAGATTTATGCCACAACCATAAAGTGATTACGTTAGAACAATATGAGATTTTCTCATCATTATGGACACATAATGTTTCACAAGAGAGAGGGCAATGTTCCATGATATAACGTTTCACATCACTCCAAGAGGTTGTAATTAGAGATATGGGTCAAACCGTGTCTCTGCATAACAAAGGACTGATCTATATTTAGACATTTACTCTTTACATAAAGTGGAGTTACATCAGTTTTAATCAGATTTGCTTGGACAGAAAATATTAACACATAGAACCCGATCATCTGTAAGCCTACTAATGTTTGAGTGAGGGAATCAATATATTATTTCGCATCAGCAATCCTTGAACTTTTTTTGGATAGTCCTTTGGAGATCTCACGTATACAAGAATTCTATTAAAAAAGTTGATACTGATGCAATCACAATGTAAATGGCATTTCCCCAAATATCAGGGTTTCAAAGTAGCGATATCAACAAGTTTGTCATAGATAAAAGGCTGTCAACCTGCTGATGAAGCTGACATTACCATCAGCACCAATCAGCAACATAATGTCCTGTGATGCAACAACAAGATAGATGCCATGTGATGTTGCAACAAGATAAGGATATAATTATAATGCTGCAACAAGAAAATTACATGTATGTGATGTCATATGCAATATGATAATGACAATGATGTTGCAACAAGATCATGATGTAATGTTGCAACAACATAAGGGTATATAATGTTGCAACAAAATAATGCCATGTGATGTTGCAACAAGATAATGACAATGATGTTGCTACAAGATAACGATGTAATGTGATATTGAAGTTGTCTGTACTCACGTCTTCAACTTGTTCCTTCTTGAAAGCGCCAAGTATTTGAGCAATGACCAGATTCTTAAGGAATACGATGAGGAGTGTGATGGGCAGCATGTAGAGTTCGAAGTTCCACACCACCACTAGGTACACCTGAATCACAGGAGTGAGTGAGTGAGTGAGTGGAGTTCAGTACTGCTTGCAACAGTGAGTGAGTGATAGTGAGTGAGGCATGTCAGGTTAATGTGGCAGGAAAGGCTGGAACAGTGTCACAGGTATATCAAGGCATGTCACCTGGAACATTTCACAGGTGTTTACCATTTCGGTGAACCTACAAGGATGGGTATTGTGCTGACACAATGGGTATTGTGCTGACAAACCTCAAACATAACAAGTCCAAACCAAGAATGAAACCTGTAACCTCTGGCTTCCAGCATATCCAACGGACGAAAGGAGGCATGGAAGGACATTGTTTTTGGAAGTGGGTGAGTTTAGTTTTACGCCAATTTTAGCAATATTCCAGCAATATCACTGCGGGAGACACCAGAAATGGGCATCACACATTGTGCCCATGTGGGGAATTGAACACGGGTCTTCAGGGTGATGAGCGAACGCTTTAACCACTAGGCTACCCCACCACCCCTTGTCTTTGGTAGTTTGTTCAGCTATATGAAGGTGATACATGTCTTCATCAGACAAAACATTTTTTGAGATCATAAATATCCATACTTGCAATTAGGATACAATGAAATAACTTCAACCACATCAGCCAGGCTGACAACAATCCTGCAGGGGCCTCTCAATAAGCATGACATGCTCAATACCAGTTCTAAATCCTGAATAATACATCACACGTTTTGATGGATAACAACTTCATTTTATTCTTTTTGCTATCCATAAAAACGTGTCATGTATTCATGTTTGTCCAACTTCTAAATGCCTTTCAAGAAAACCTGAATTCTAACCGTAACATGCAAGGGGCAAGTAACCTTGTGTGTATCGATGTATGGAGGCTTGATGGCATGAATTATCACTAACCGAAAGAAACAGCCTGTGTTGGGCAGTATTGAGAATTACGTTATATTACAGCTGTACTGACTGCTACTTGGTACTATGTGGCAGTATGAGTACTATTGTCTAGTATTCAGTACTGCTGGGTAGTACAGCCAGTACTCAGTAGTATTAGTGGACCCATCCTGGTTGGTCTTCAGCAACACGTGCTTGTTGTAACAAGTTGTAGGCGAACAAGAGGCCACCATATAGCTGGAATATTGCTGAGTGTATTAAGTATACAATGAGACTTACAATGAAGGCCGTGATGCTCCTCGGGGTGGACTCCCAGTTGAAGCAGCTCTGTAAGAAGCGGCCACCCTCCATCATGGATGAAATGATCTGAGACACTCGGTCAATGTTCCTCTTCATGATCTACAGATGTAACACATTCATCAAAGAACTGGTACAGACTTTCAATGTTTAAATCATAGATCAAAATTATCTACATATGTAACACATTCATCACAGAACTGGTACAGACTTTCAAAGTTTAAATCATTTAAATTGTAGACCCAAATTATCTACATATGTAACACGTTCATCAAAGACCTGGAACAGACTTTCAATATTTAAATTGTAGATCAAAACTTTCTACATACGGTATGTAACTTGGTAATCACAGATCTGGTACAGACTTTCAATGTTTAAATCGTAGATCAAAATTATCTACATATGTAACATGTTAATCACAGATCTGGTGCTGACTTTCAATGGTTAAATAGTAAAATAGATAAGAAATGAATCCAAATATAGTCTGGAATGATTTGGCAAATTTAGATTGCCAACATGAAAATTACACATTGTTCTGAGCACAAATTGGATTCTATTTCCTTTTTTCATTAAAAGTATATATTCTTAAAAGAGTCATATGTTTGGGACTAAAAGTTAGTTCACAGGCAGTTTAATGTCAAAGAAAATTCTTGGCTAAATTTAATCAATTTGCATTTTCTCAAGCACACTCCAGTCTGAACACAGTCATAAACAAAATATCCTTATTTTGGTTGAGAAACATCATTATTGGATGGCTGTATGACAATTTTAAAACATTTGCCATGATCATCACACTTACTGATCACACTTACTGATATTTTTACTGATATTTTGAATTTCTGCTCTGGCTGCATATACTTCTCCTCTCGAGGATTCACCGTTCTGACCGCTGACTTTGTCTGTTGATATACACCACAATACAGCTTTAATAATAGCCGGGTGTTACATTGCTATTGTGGCAGTGTTGCAGTTACAAGTTTGCATCTGTACATGAAATGAACTTCAACAATTGTAACCAAGTTGAGAACTGAGCAGGTTTCGTTATGCTACCTCAAAACTCAGCGATAGACATTTTTGAAAAGTCTCTCACAGCAAATCAGGAAAGAATATGAACCATAAGTCATCAAACATGAATTAGTCATGAGTGAGTTAGTGAGGATGGTTTTACGCCGCCTTTAGCAATATTCCAGCAATATCACAGAGGGACACCAAAAATGGGCTTCACACATTGTACCCATGTGGGGAATTGAAACCACTGGTCTTCAGCGTCAAACACTTGGCTACTCCACTGCCCCTCAAGTAGCGTGTTGTTACATACACAAGCTCATGTCTTAAGTAAAACGCTGTTTATATCGTATGTTGTTACATACACAAGCTCATGTCTTAAGTAAAACGCTGTTTATATCGTATGTTGTTACATACACAAGCTCATGTCTTAAGTAAAACGCTGTTTATATCGTATGTTGTTACATACACAAGCTCATGTCTTAAGTAAAACGCTGTTTATATCGTATGTTGTTACATACACAAGCTCATGTCTTAAGTAAAACGCGGTTTATATCGTATGTTGCACAAATGTATTTGGCAGCTTGATGACTCACATGATTGAAGATCAAATCCATCTCCAACAGAACAGCACCTTTTCCCCTGTGAATAAGTTTCTTGTCTTTGAGTGCATACCACCGACGCTCTCCATTCTTTATCTGAAAACAATCAGTCAAGTAACATGATCCCATTGTCAGCTCTAAGTCCCACAGTGTGTATGTACATCATTGGGACGGCTAGTCAGTATTATACTTAACCTCAATGTCATGATGGCTAGTCAGCCCTACACTCAACCTCAGTATCGGGATGGCTAGTCAGCCCTACACTCAACCTCAGTATCAGGATGGCTAGTCAGCCCTACACTCAACCTCAGTATTGGGATGGCTAGTCAGCCCTACACTCAACCTCAGTATCGGGATGGCTAGTCAGCCCTACACTCAACCTCAGTATCGGGATGGTTAGTCAGCCCTACACTTACCTTCAGTATCAGGATGGCTAATCAGCCCTACCCACAACCTCAGTACTAGAGTAGCTAGTCAGTCCTACACTTACCCTCAGTATCAGGATGGCTAGTCAGCCCTACCCACAACCTCAGTACTAGAGTGGCTAGTCAGCCCTACACTTACCCTCAGTATTGGGATGGTAAGTCAGCCCAACACCTACCCTCCATATTGGGATGGCTAGTCAGCCCTACACTCAACCTCAGTATCGGGATGGTTAGTCAGCCCTACACTCACCTCAGTATCGGGATGGCTAGTCAGCCCTACAGTTACCTTCAGTATGAGGATGGCTAGTCAGCCCTACCCACAACCTCAGTACTAGGGTGGCTAGACAGCCTTACACTTACCCTCAATAGGGGAATGGACAGTTTTCCCAGGAACTCCACTTTCTTGTCCCGATCCTCGTCCCAGACCGACACTTCCAGCATGGAATGGATGTCCTTCACATTGCTGGCAAATAAGAGATCAACCACAGTTTGTTAATATGTTGCCATCTTGAAGATGACATGTCATAAATAGAGATCATAATCCACCATATTCCCACAGAAGCACACATGGGTAATAACATCACACACATATAGGTAATAACATCACACACATGGGTAATAACATCACACACATATAGGTAATAACATCACATACATATAGGTAATAACATCAAACACATATAGGTAATAACATCACACACATGGGTAATAACATCACACACATATAGGTAATAACATCACACACATGGGTAATAACATCACACACATATAGGTAATAACATCACACACATATAGGTAATAACATCACACACATATAGGTAATAACATCACACACATATAGGTAATATACAGAAAATATCAAGACATATTTTCACTGAACATCTTTAGAAAACTGCATGTAAAGCCAATGCAAGAGTGAACCACTCAACATATAGATGAACAACATACTGTCAAATACTGATCACTTGCTTGGTAACGGTGTTAGAACCTACACCGAAACACATCACGCAGCAGTTAAAGAAGTTGTTCATCCATATATTGTTATCCTTCTGATTGACTTCTAAATGCCTCTCAGAGAAGTTATATTGTCCACTGATTGTCAACAGCTTCTGGCTAACACTGTGTGGATATGGGAGTAGCAGACTTACAATGTAAAGATCTTGTTCCACTGTGGGTTGAGTGTTTTATACTCAGTGTGAGTCTGCAGCCTTGAGTTGACCAGCTCCAGCACACAGAACGGATCACTCTGGCCACCAAAGTCTGCTGCTCGTAAACCCTGGGCCTTGAACACTGAAATAAATACATTTTAAAACCATTTTCATCTGTTTTTACAAATATTTATGCCATGTCACAGGACCATTTAACATGAGGCCCTCAACTTTTCTTTTTCCATTTCACATTTTGGTACTTGCTTGATAAAAAACATGTCTAAAATAGTGTCTCTTCCAGTAGTGAAAATTTCCCTTTGTACTAGTTTGGTCTAAGGTAATTCTTCTTACCATGTATACATTCATACAATATAATACAATATTTGTTCTAGGAGTAACTAGTTCCACTGAGAACTGATCATCAGTGATACCTACACCTGCAGTCTGTACTGTTTTGATACCACAGATTCTAAACTGCCACTGAAAGAAACATAATGTGTGACGAAAGTAGGACAAACATGTTAACACTGGTGACACTCCAGAGGACAACCCAACATCATAATTTGGGCAAACATGTTAACACTGGTGACACTCCAGAGAACAACCCAACATCATAATTTGGACAAACATGTTAACACTGGTGACACTCCAGAGGACAACCCAACATCATAATTAGGACAAACATGTTAACACTGGTGACACTCCAGAGGACAACCCAACATCATAATTAGGACAAACATGGCCTCTGAACACACAATGAGAGCATCCTCCCATTGAGAGGACACAACTCCATACACACGTCCAGTACGAGTAGTATCCCTGTACGGAGGTGCTTCTATCTGGATAATGCCATATGGAGCAAGAATGAGGCTAAAAATATGCCGTCTTTTCTTGAATGGACCCTTCCGGAACACAAATCATAAACCGTTTTGACCTCTGCCACATGAGGTGACAGGTGACTTCAGAAAACACTATGCCTCAAGCCTCAAAATAATCAAGACTAAAAACCTGGAGGATCATGTGTATAAAGTTTCATAAAATTCAAAACACAAATAGCAAACAAGAATATTTCTTATAGCAAACTAGCTGAAATCTGAATTATATGCTGACAATACTTCCTGAATGAAACTATTTGCAAGTCATTTCATTAGTGAATGGCCTCCCAAGTGGCCTTGACATCTGACACATCAAGATGCAGGGTGTTTGAATCAGTAACTTTGAATCCATCTTCACTTTAAAAGCTTTTGATTTTCAGCAAATATTCTGAAATTTTTATTAAATATTAACCATTTTCTTTAACTTGACCTCAAGGAACATTCCCCTAATATGAAGGTCCCCCAAAAGTGATGCGACTGGGACTTCATCCTTGAGATCAGAGATGCAAAGTATCATAGGTTTTGTAAAAAATATGAAGCCTTAATATGACACTGCTACCATAAAATATTTGTAAGTCATTTCATGATTGAATGAACCTTCAAAGTGATCATGTTTTCTGACACAAACATGACACATGAGTTTTGACACATGTTTTGAGTTTATTCTTAAGAGCCATACTCAAGTTATCATTTACAAAAGTGTTTTGACACCTGGTGACCTTGACCTTTAATGTCATCCAATAATATCAGAGGTCAGACGAATTCAACAAGGTTATATTGGAGGTATATCATTTAAGAAATCTTGATCTGTTATAAGAGAAGCCGACTAAACCAGCTGAGGCAGCAGTAATGGAGAATTCATTAATATCATTACTTATATATGTACAGAATAACTCACCTTTGACCTGAAGCCAGCCGACATCTTTTATATTGTTGAATGACTTGAGGAGACCCTGTTGATGAGACAAGTGGTCAGGAAAACACTTTTTAAATATTTATACATGCTGATACTTACACACTAAAGCCATTTCCATGGAATGGTTTACGACTGTTTTAGCTGTGGTAGTATAATACATAAATAACTCTGGAGAAACCATCGAAGATAGATGTGGAGTCACACTAAACAAATCATTGGATCTCACCCAGGAACTTACAGCCTTGACCACTGATTTGTGACCCTGATAGTAAATAAATATATATTTCTACATTATATCGTCATCATGTTTATATAAGTTCTGCATTTGTGAATTTGGTAAGATCACTGGAGAGAACGGGCCTCCTTTCACAAAGCACTAAGGTGATTGTAAGTCACTAAGGTAAGCTTAGTGCAATGTTAAAGAATGGGAGTTCAGGTTAACCTTAGTAAAGGTTGCTTCGTGAAAGGAGCCCCTGTTTGTATATGAACTGTTAAAGATCGTACATAGTTTCTGACTCTCTCTTCTCTTTCACGTGGGTTGGGTGTGTAGTTGGCCAGATCGGTGATGGTCTCACTGCCTGCAGTGCCACTGATCGTCAACAACAACCGGACCATTCCCGCACCATCCTCCAGGTTCTGGCAGATTGTATGAGTAGCCTCCCTTTCCAGCTTCGCCAGGTCAATCACAGCTCTGTGAAGAAAACAAACTATTTACCTACACCCTTGCCTTTGTTTCCAACCAAAATGTTGAAAAATGTAATAGATGTGTACATAGAAGCTGACACATCTAAATATTTCAACATGTTTCTACAGTGTATAACTATGAGAAACAACTAGCAACTAGCAACTCATGTTACTTCTACTTATCTGTAAGTGCATTTCTATAGTAACATGACAGATTTAGGTTGTCTGCAACGTGTCCAGTACATATTATTGCAATTTAGGCATTGTTGTATGAACTGGTATATTAATTATCAATGCATGATCAATCAAGATTCTTAGCATATCATTGTTTCCATGTAACAGATAACGTTGATTGGATTTATAAAAGCAAGACATTCTCTACTGAAAATGTGCTAATTCATTTTCAAATATTCAAAACATTTCATGATTGTGTAAGCAATGTGTAACCATCCTATATGTTTGTTTTCAATCTGGTTAGAAGCCCAGATATTTTATATATGAAAAGTTAAAAACTTCTGAGACTCATCAGTAATATTGTCGTCCCTTCCTTGCCTATAGGTTATCCAGTTATCCTGCCTCGGCCAGGTTATGCAAACATCAATAAAACACCCAACACATTTAATCAAGACTTCATTTTCCAGTGTTTGTTGGCATTTTATCAAAAGTTCATAGAATTTATCCGTCCTCAGAAAGGATTTGTCCCTTGGCATTTGAGTTAATGTTAAAGTCCAGACTGATTTCATCCCTTGTGCGGTCGATATATTGCAATATTGGTGATATTAGCTTGGGGAGGATGGTTTCTATCCTGGACATGCTCAAGGGACATTCTAAAAAACTATCAGTGACTACTGCATAGTGTGTCTTAATGATTTTATGAATAAAAGATGTCCATACGCATGGTCCAGCTGCTGGCACAATGAAACGGACACCATGGACAATATTCCACTTCTACAAATAGTTTTGTTCCACTAGAGAATGTTTTCAATTTTTGTTTATATATTTGATTATATTTGCAGCATGAGTCCAAAAACTTTGTCATTTAAATATCAAATGTCAAACAGTATATTCTTCACAACTCACCTGCCTTCCTATAAAGTCCTCCTTCCCTGTGAAGTCACGGTCAAACAACTCACCTTCCCATGAAGTCATTCTTCCCATGTGACATGATGGTCACACAAGGTCATACAACTGACGTTCCCATGAGGTCGTTCTTCCCTGTGACATTGTGGTCAAACAACTCACCTTCCCATGAAGTCATCATTCCCCGTGACATCATGGTCAAACAAGGTCAAACAACTCACCTTCCCATGAAGTCGTCCTTCCCTGTGACATCATGGTCAAACACTGTCATCTCAAGTTGACTCGTCTGGTCATCATACATGCGTAGATCAAATTGCTCCAACCACTTGGGGTTCAATGTCTTTGATTTAAACTGAAAACAAATACATCTTGAGATCATACACATTTTTCACTGGTTTAATAGAAGACTAAAAGAAAACTTTCACAGTTCAGAGTTCAGGGGATGACATGCTTTCGGCAGTACAGAAAACACAGATAGCAATGTCAGGAATGTCACTACAGGCATATCAGGTTCATACACATGGTCGTAACTGAACCCAGGTCTTCATCAAGACAAGCAAGTAACTGCTACACCATCAAGTTTTTATGACCAGCTTGAGGTACTGGACACTTAATCTGATCCATAATCCCTACATGAAACAATGAGCTCTTCTAAACAGCAGCATAATCCCTGCATACACCATCAAGTTTGAGCTTTCTGAACAGCATAATCCCTACATGTAACAATGAGTACTTCTAAACAGACAGCATAATCCCTACATGTAACAATGAGCTCTTCTAAACAGTAGCATAATCCCTACATGTAACAATGAGTTCTTCTAAACAGTAGCATAATCCCTACATGTAACAATGAGTCTTCTAAACAGCAGCATAATCCCTACATGTAACAATGAGTTCTTCTAAACAGTAGCATAATCCCTACATGTAACAATGAGTTCTTCTAAACAGTAGCATAATCCCTACATGTAACAATGAGTTCTTCTAAACAGTAGCATATAATCCCTACATGTAACAATGAGTTCTTCTAAACAGTAGCATAATCCCTACATGTAACAATGAGTTCTTCTAAACAGTAGCATAATCCCTACATGTAACAATGAGTTCTTCTAAACAGTAGCATAATCCCTACATGTAACAATGAGTTCTTCTAAACAGTAGCATAATCCCTACATGTAACAATGAGTTCTCTTCTAAACAGTAGCATAATCCCTACATGTAACAATGAGTTCTTCTAAACAGTAGCATAATCCCTACATGTAACAATGAGTTCTTCTAAACAGTAGCATAATCCCTACATGTAACAATGAGTTCTTCTAAACAGTAACATAATCCCTACATGTAACAATGAGTTCTTCTAAACAGTAACATAATCCCAACATGTAACAATGAGTTCTTCTAAACAGTAGCATAATCCCAACATGTAACAATGAGTTCTTCTAAACAGTAACATAATCCCTACATGTAACACTGAGTTCTTCTAAACAGTAGCATAATCCCTACATGTAACAATGAGCTCTTCTAAACAGTAGCATAATCCCTACATGTAACAATGAGTTCTTCTGAACAGTAGCATAATCCCTACATGTAACAATGAGCTCTTCTAAACAGTAGCATAATCCCTACATGTAACAATGAGCTCTTCTAAACAGTAGCATAATCCCTACATGTAACAATGAGTTCTTCTGAACAGTAGCATAATCCCTACATGTAACAATGAGTTCTTCTGAACAGTAGCATAATCCCTACATGTAACAATGAGCTCTTCTAAACAGTAGCATAATCCCTACATGTAACAATGAGCTCTTCTAAACAGTAGCATAATCCCTACATGTAACAATGAGTTCTTCTAAACAGTAGCATAATCCCTACATGTAACAATGAGTTCTTCTAAACAGTAGCATAATCCCTACATGTAACAATGAGTTCTTCTAAACAGTAACATAATCCCTACATGTAACAATGAGCTCTTCTGAACAGTAGCATAATCCCTACATGTAACAATGTGTTCTTCTGAACAGTAACATAATCCCTACATGTAACAATGAGCTCTTCTAAACAGTAGCATAATCCCTACATGTAACAATGAGTTCTTCTAAACAGTAGCATAATCCCTACATGTAACAATGAGTTCTTCTAAACAGTAGCATAATCCCTACATGTAACAATGAGTTCTTCTAAACAGTAGCATAATCCCTACATGTAACAATGAGTTCTTCTAAACAGTAGCATAATCCCTACATGTAACAATGAGTTCTTCTAAACAGTAGCATAATCCCTACATGTAACAATGAGTTCTTCTAAACAGTAGCATAATCCCTACATGTAACAATGAGTTCTTCTAAACAGTAGCATAATCCCTACATGTAACAATGAGTTCTTCTAAACAGTAGAATTACAATATAACCATTTAACAGTTAATACGTTGCACTTCAGGATTTAAGAATTGAAAACCAAATTGTAGGATAATCCAGTTTCTGATTCATCCCTGAAGCATAAAGAACATCTGGAATGTTCTGTCATTTTCCTTATGTCTTCAAACACCCAAATTGTACTTTAAAAAAATCATACTCAATGACTTAAATATGCAATGCATATTTAATTTTCCCCAAATCCGTCAGCAGCTTAGTCTATCTGAAACAAAACCATCCCTTCTACATGAAATAACATCTTTTTCTAATTGTTTTGTTTTGGATCAATTCATCAAATGACCTTGCTTTCAATGTGAGATCTGGCCGATATCGATCAGATAGCAACTGTTGAATTTAACTCTATCAGTGTCCCATATGTTTACCACTCAATCAGTCAGGTTTGATTAATCACTTTATAATACCATAATTCAATCAACTAGAATATAACACATATTGATAATCAGATCAACTGTTATTATTCACCATGTCAACTTTACACTCCACTGTTAGTGTGTGTGAGGCACATCCTGTAGAAAGTATTCAACTAAATTGATAATTTCTCCTATGTGATAAATATTAGCAGGGTGTGTGAGCCAGTTTGTTCATGCGCTGCTTTGAACAGAACATCAGAAATATGACAGTGTGTAAGGAAAGCAGCACATGATGAAGGTCTTAGGTCTTTCATGAAACACACAAGCTTTGCATGGTGCTGGCGAGATATGTTATATTTTCTCAGATAACAGAGTCTACCAGTCTAGTGTTAGTTGAGTTCCATCAGGGATTCCAACCCACACCTACAGAGTAAGGCACCATATCACCATCACCCAAAGTCTATGATTTAGCCCACTCAGGTTCTGTGGCTTCCACAAAATGGAAGTCTGACAAATGATAGTCGAGATCACATACTTTGCTAAAGTTATGAATACAGTGCCTTTTAGATATAAATATTGCACCTTTGGGCCTTACTCTGAGAATGTGGGTTCAAAGAATAGGACCCAAACCAAAAAAAAAGTCCTAGAAATTTTACATTACTGATAAACTGTAATCCCAAATATATCAGAGCTTAAAGAAACGTCATAAGATCTGCAATTTGAAACCATGACCATGGGCTTCTGGCATCTGTGATGTGATAGGCAAACAGTGCACCGCTGCCCCTTGTCATGATGTCACGCTGACTTAACGAAAACATAACTACCTTGCTGCGATATTTTTCTTTTCCAAGTTGAAACTTGACGTATGGATCGCTGAAGCCGTTGTCATCCATTGGAACAAGATTGGATCCCTCAACCAACACAATCGTACAACGCTGCTCCAGATCTGCATCTTCATCTTCTTGGACGCTGTGTCCGACCCGCGAACACTTCGTTTAAAATACTGAAAAAGAAATCGTCGATAATAGAATTTGAGAAGGAAGTAAACTACTCTCCAGCTTGTGGGCATGGTTTATGAATCATTTAGCAATATCCATTCCAAACAATGGCCAAGGTCAGACACTGCACCCACAAACTCAGGCCTCCAGTGTGATGGTCAAACACATCATGCACCAGGCAACTCAACCACTATCGGAATGCAGGCAATACTTCATGGAAACTATTTGAGATATAGAAATATTAATGAGCAAGAAACAAACAGGCTTACATAGAGAAACTGAATATATTTTAGAATATTTTGGTAATTTTCCACTTTGGCTTCCACGATACACTTCCACGTCATATGTGTAGTGAAACTATATTAGTCCTGAGACCCTGCTCTCCAGACAACTACCATCATTAGAAGAACTCCTATAGAACTTCTATATCCTTCTTTCATACATTGTACACCACTTCCACAACTTGACTTTAGGAATGGTTAGGAAATGAAATTGACTAACAAGAGATCCAGGCCTCCCTTGCAACTATTGGCTAGATTTGTCTGACATTCGAGATGTTATACTGTAGCAGTTAACAACATAGTGCAAGTTCTGAAACATTTGGATGTGTTTACATACATGAATAAACACAAGCATTGCTCCCTAAACCTCCTGGAACAGGGTAAACACAGCCTTGCAATATACTTGACAAGGTAAGCACACTGTAGGTCTGGACAGAGCAGAGCAAGATTGGAAAGGTCATGCAACTGAGTGTCAGTGAATGTCTCAGGTCGTACTGGTAAAGAGTCCTCTCAAGACTGACACAAACATTCTGGCAGCCGCTGGATGCTGCTGGTGATGCAGGACTCCACTGACACAATCATCTCCGTGTTCACAGTGATGACATCATACAGATGAATGCCACTGGATGCTGCTGGTGATGCAGGACTCCACTGACACAATCATCTCCGTGTTCACAGTGATGACATCATACAGATGAATGCCACTGGATGCTGCTGGTGATGCAGGACTCCACTGACACAATCATCTCCGGTTCATCAGTGATGCAGGACTGAATGCCACTGCTGATGCAGGACTGATGCAGGACTCCACTGACACAATCATCTCCGTGTTCACAGTGATGACATCATACAGATGAATGCCACTGGATGCTGCTGGTGATGCAGGACTCCACTGACACAATCATCTCCGTGTTCACAGTGATGACATCATACAGATGAATGCCACTGGATGCTGCTGGTGATGCAGGACTCCACTGACACAATGCATCTCCTGGTGATGCTCCACTGACACAATCATCTCCGCGGTTCACAGTGTTCACAGTGATGACATCATACAGATGAATGCCACTGGATGCTGCTGGTGATGCAGGACTCCACTGACACAATCATCTCCGTGTTCACAGTGATGACATCATACAGATGAACGTATCCACTATTGATACAGCGTCCATTGGACATTCATAACTTTTCATGAACACCTACTGGTTTTGTTTATTTTTTTCTATATTTACATAGGAACTTGAGAAGTTGATATGATAAACTTATTATCAATTGTTAAAAAATTGTAAATGTCTGATTGGCCAGTAGCTGTCCTGTTAAAACCCCAGTAATTTGGTATCATGACTGTTTGATGTGACGTTACTTGCGTTTCATGATACAGTTCACCCTGTTCGCACATTGAGTTGCATGTTGAGAGTATGATGTAGCCGCAAGATGGGTTTAGTAGTCACACACACATATTTAACTAAAACTATGTCGTGTAACGTGTGACCTTGTATTGATACATTCGTAACATGTTTTTCAGTGAGCTGACAGTTGTTGTAACTCCCTCTGCCTTCAGTGAGCTGTGTAATAGCCAAATTGGTTCATCAGCTCCACTTCACCCTGGTATTTTAACTCAACATATACACTATGGGCTGTGAGACATCATGTGTCTATTATAACCCCACAGGGTCCCCCCTCAGAGCTGGTCCCTAAGAACGTATGACTGCCATACAAGATGACTTCAAAGATCAAGTGGTGATTTGGTTAATCCTGTGTAATCATACAAGAGGGTGTTGAGGTTGACCATAACATCAATCACTGGATCGTATGGTCCAAACTTATTTATCCACAGTCACTGATCTAACATATACATATTGCTGAATGTAATGTTCAACATTAAACATTACTGCATGATGTACATTGACACAAACAGTGTTGTCAGTCTACTGCACGGTACATACATACAACAGTTAAATGTTGCTGCTGTACTGATACATAGTGTTGTCAGTCTACTACACGGTACATACATACAACAGTTAAATGTTGCTGCTGTACTGATACATAGTGTTGTCAGTCTACTACACGGTACATACATACAACAGAGAAATGTTGCTGCTGTACTGATACATAGTGTTGTCAGTCTACTACATCGGTACATACATACAACAGTTAAATGTTGCTGCTGTACTGATACATAGTGTTGTCAGTCTACTACACGTACATACATACAACAGAGAAATGTTGCTGCTGTACTGATACATAGTGTTGTCAGTCTACTACACGGTACATACATACAACAGTTAAATGTTGCTGCTGTACTGATACATAGTGTTGTCAGTCTACTACATGGTACATACATACAACAGTTAAAATGTTGCTGCTGTACTGATACATAGTGTTGTCAGTCTACTACATGGTACATACATACAACAGTTAAATGTTGCTGCTGTACTGATACATAGTGTTGTCAGTCTACTACATGGTACATACATACAACAGTTAAATGTTGCTGCTGTACTGATACATAGTGTTGTCAGTCTACTACATGGTACATACATACAACAGTTAAATGTTGCTGCTGTACTGATACATAGTGTTGTCAGTCTACTACACGGTACATACATACAACAGAGAAATGTTGCTGCTGTACTGATACATAGTGTTGCCAGTCTACTACACGGTACATACATACAACAGTTAAATGTTGCTGCTGTACTGATACATAGTGTTGTCAGTCTACTACACGGTACATACATACAACAGAGAAATGTTGCTGCTGTACTGATACATAGTGTTGTCAGTCTACTACACGGTACATACATACAACAGTTAAATGTTGCTGCTGTACTGATACATAGTGTTGTCAGTCTACTACATGGTACATACATACAACAGAGAAATGTTGCTGCTGTACTGATACATAGTGTTGTCAGTCTACTACATGGTACATACACAACAGTTAAATGTTGTTGCTGCTACTGATACATAGTGTTGTCAGTCTACTACACGGTACATACATACATGTTGCAGTACTGAAATGTTGCTGCTGTACATGATACATACAGTGTTGTCTGTCTACTACACGGTACATACATACATACAACAGTTAAATGTTGCTGCTGTACTGATACATAGTGTTGTCAGTCTACTACACGGTACATACATACAACAGAGAAATGTTGCTGCTGTACTGATACATAGTGTTGTCAGTCTACTACACGGTACATACATACAACAGTTAAATGTTGCTGCTGTACTGATACATAGTGTTGCCAGTCTACTACACGGTACATACATACAACAGTTAAATGTTGCTGCTGTACTGATACATAGTGTTGTCAGTCTACTACACGGTACATACATACAACAGAGAAATGTTGCTGCTGTACTGATACATAGTGTTGTCAGTCTACTACACGGTACATACATACAACAGAGAAATGTTGCTGCTGTACTGATACATAGTGTTGTCAGTCTACTACACGGTACATACATACAACAGAGAAATGTTGCTGCTGTACTGATACATAGTGTTGTCAGTCTACTACACGGTACATACATACAACAGTTAAATGTTGCTGCTGTACTGATACATAGTGTTGTCAGTCTACTACACGGTACATACATACAACAGAGAAATGTTGCTGCTGTACTGATACATAGTGTTGTCAGTCTACTACATGGTACATACATACAACAGTTAAATGTTGCTGCTGTACTGATACATAGTGTTGTCAGTCTACTACACGGTACATACATACAACAGTTAAATGTTGCTGCTGTACTGATACATAGTGTTGTCAGTCTACTACATGGTACATACATACAACAGAGAAATGTTGCTGCTGTACTGATACATAGTGTTGTCAGTCTACTACACGGTACATACATACAACAGAGAAATGTTGCTGCTGTACTGATACATAGTGTTGTCAGTCTACTACACGGTACATACATACAACAGTTAAATGTTGCTGCTGTACTGATACATAGTGTTGTCAGTCTACTACATGGCGGTACATACATACAACAGAGAAATGTTGCTGCTGTACTGATACATAGTGTTGTCAGTCTACTACACGGTACATACATACAACAGTTAAATGTTGCTGCTGTACTGATACATAGTGTTGTCAGTCTACTACACGGTACATACATACAACAGAGAAATGTTGCTGCTGTACTGATACATAGTGTTGTCAGTCTACTACATGGTACATACATACAACAGTTAAATGTTGCTGCTGTACTGATACATAGTGTTGTCAGTCTACTACATGGTACATACATACAACAGTTTAATGTTGCTGCTGTACTGATACATAGTGTTGTCAGTCTCTACTACACGGTACATACATACAACAGTTAAATGTTGCTGCTGTACTGATACATAGTGTTGTCAGTCTACTACACGGTACATACGGTACATACATACAACAGGTTAAATGTTGTTGCTGCTGTACTGATACATAGTGTTGTCAGTCTACTACACATACATACATACACAGTTAAATGTTGCTGCTGTACTGATACATAGTGTTGTCAGTCTACTACGGTACATACATACAACAGTTAAATGTTGCTGCTGTACTGATACATAGTGTTGTCAGTCTACTACACGGTACATACATACAACAGTTAAATGTTGCTGCTGTACTGATACATAGTGTTGTCAGTCTAGTCTACTACACGGTACATACATACAACAGTTAAATGTTGCTGCTGTACTGATAC